TTGATGTTGCCAATTAGACATTTGGCTGAAATTAAATTAAGTTTCCTTGTGGCTATAATGTTGTATTTGTTAAGAAGAAAATAGCAAAGCAAAAACTGCAACCTATTTATGTGCTCCGTGGACACCACCAGCATGGATGAACAAACAGTGGCTCGGAAAGATAGACAATGCTTCCCAAGGTCAAAGAGCTAAATGTTAAAATCAGCCAGAATATTTCAAATAGATAAATAAATCTTTAAAAATAAAAAAGCTTAAGCAACTAAAATAAATAAATAAAATAAACCATTGTTATGGAAGATTCCCAGTTGTCTGGTTTCCAGATCCCTGGGCTGCTACCTCACTGAAATGGTAGCTCATGGATGGGCAGGAACAGATTTTTTTTTTTCTGTAAAAAAAAAAAATCTAAATCCTGGGCCAGAGAACATGATTGTTAAAGGTTGACCGGCTGAATGAATGAATGAATAAGTTTGGAGACCATTGTTTAAAAGACAGACCTCTAAGCCCAGACTGTAATTTGGCATTCATTTACCGTTGCTGCTGCAGCTCTAACCACCTTTTCATCCCAGAAGCTAGTCTGTGGCGTTAACCATCTTCAGCCAGCCATAACACCATTAAGAGCTTCAGCCCAGTCATTGTGCCTCCCACCTCAGGTCTTGGCTCCGGTCCCTGGGCTGTGAGAGTAGCCTGGTTGTTTACCAGGGATTTGGACCCTCTTCAGAGAAAAGCACAGATGACCTATTAGTCTAATTCAAGCACTTAGCAAGGAATGTCTGTATCATTCACACCCCCAACCCCAGCTTAATGGAGCCAAAGTAAATAGAAAGGTCTTGACTGCTCAAGGGATCTTTGGGTGGGCGGGAGAGAGGAGGGAGGAAGGTCAACCCAGTGTACCAGTGGAGCTTGCAGGGAGTCAGCTTGGCTGAGCACTTCCTAGGGCTTGGCAGGCTACAGGGAGAGGCTGGCCTGCTCCACCTACCATTCCTGGAAGCTCATACATACATCCTTCCTTGGTGGTCTCCCTTACTGGTTTAAATCTGAACTCAAAAGAAAAACAGCAAAACAACCAGATATCGTCCATACAGAAATGGTTTATTTAAACTGTGTATATATGAATCTCCACTTACACAAGTCTATGCCATATAGCTGACGAGAACCATGGTTCGTTCACTTGCCGATGCTAGAAGGTGTCTGTAAACTCATACTTTGCTCTTATAAAACTCTGGAAACAGCCTGGCATGGTAGTCTATTGGCTAAAGTCCTCATCTTACACCAGGATCCCATATGGGCACTACTTCTGATCTCAGCTGCTCCAATTCCCTTCCAGCTCCCTGCATGTGGCCTGGGAGGGCAGCAGAGAACAGTCCAAAGCCTCGGGACCCTGTGCCTACATGAGAGACCCAGAAGAAGCTCCTACCTCCTGGCTTCGGATAGGCTCAGTCTCCAGCCATTGCAGCGACTTGAAGAGTGAACCAGTGGATGAAAGATCTTTCTCTCTTCTTTGTAAATATGACCTTCCAAGAAAAACAAATTTTATTTTTCCAGTTTTAAAGATTTATTTACATTTTTATTACAAAGTCGGATATACAAAGAGGAGGAGAGACAGAGAGAAAGATCTTCCTTCCGATGATTCACTCGCCAAGTGAGCACAACGGCCTGTGCTGTGCCAATCCAAAGCCAGGAACCAGGAACCTCCTCTGGGTCTCCCACGTGGGTGCAGGGTCCCAAGGCTTTGGTCCATCCTCGACTGCTTTCCCAGGCCACAAGCAGGGAGCTGGATGGGAAGTGGAGCTGCCAGGTTAGAACCGGCACCCATATGGGATCCTGGCACATTCAAGGCGAGGACTTTAGCCACTAGGCCACGGCACTGGGCCCGAAAAACAAATTTTTAAAATCTTAAAAAAAAAAACCTCCGGGTAGATCACTGAAATAAAAGGACTTATTGGGCCATTACAAATGCTAGCCACAAAGAAACAATTGGGCCTGGACAAGATTCCTGAGGCACTATCAGAAAGGCTAGGTGGCAGCTGGGAAAATGTCCATCAGATCTAAAACCCAATGTATTTTGAACAAGATACTTGAAGAAAAAGCCTAAGTTGCTTTCAGTGAACCTATATGGGCTATATCGGAATTCTGGGTGGGACACCATGAAAAAGGCAGCTTTAGGTTAAGAGAACAGCCTGTAAGGACAAGAACTTGTGGTTTCTTGACTGGTTAGGACGGTAAGCAAGAGGCAGGGTGCCTTGACAATCAATCTCTAAGGTTTTGTTTTTTTTTTTCCCCAAAGATTTATTTTTTTTTAATTGGAAAATCAGATTTATAGAGAGGAGGAGAAGCACAGAGAAAGATCTTCCACCTGTTCTATTCTCTAAGTGGCTGCACTGGCCAGAGCTGAGCTGATCCAAAGCCAGGTGCCAGGAGCTTCTGGGTCTCCCACACAAGTGCAGGGTCCCAAGGCTTTGGACCATCCTCTACTGCTTTTTCAGGCCACAAGCAGGGAGCTAGATGAGAAGTAGAACAGCTAGAATTAGAACTGGTGCCCATATGGGATCCTGGTCCATGCAAGACAAGGACTTCAGTCATTAGGCTACTGTGTCAGGCCCCTCTCAGGGTTTTCAGTTAAGGTTTAACAGATATTGAGAATGTGGGCAGTTTTTTTTGTTACGTTTTGTTATTAATGTTTGTTTACTTTCATCTACTTGAAAGGCAGGGAGAAAGAGAGAGAAAGAGAGAAGTTCATCTACTGGTTCATTCCTCTAATTTCTACATTAGCCATGCTGGGTCAGGCTAAAGTCGGGAATCAGGAGCTCCATCTGGCTTTTCCATGTGGCATGTGGGCACAGGGGCCCAAGCAGTTGAGCTATCGTATGCTTTCTCCCAGGATGCATCAATAGGAAGTGAGAGATCAGAAGTAGAGCAGCCAGGACTTGAGCCAACACTCTGATATAGAACGTAGGTATACAAAAAGTAGCTTAACTTGCCATGCCACGATACCTCCCCCCCGTGGAGCATTCCATTGTTGGTGATGCTTTGGCCCAAATACATATTTTTTTCTTTTTAAAAAATGCATATGTTTTTTCCTTTTTTATTTGAAAGGAAGAGTTAGAGAGGAAGAGGCAGAGAGAAATTCTACCCATTATTCACTCCCCACATGGTCACAGCAGTCACAACTGGGACAAGCCAAAGTCAGGAGCCAGCATCTTCTTCTAGGTCTGCCACACTGGTGGAGGGGTCCAAGCAGTTGAACCATTTTCCACTGTTTTCCCAAGCACATTAGCAGGGAGCTAGATGGAAGTGGAGCAGCCAGGACTCTAACCAGTACCCACAAGGGATGCCAGCATCACAAGCAGCAGAATTAACTGCTACACCACAGTGCTGACCCCAGCATTTTTCTTGTCTTTTCTCTTTTTTTCTTTCATTGCCTATTTTTTTTAAACATTTGCTTTATTTATTTGAAAGACAGTATGAGACAGGCAGAAACACAGAAAGATCTCCCATCTACCCTTTTATTCCCCAAAGGGCCACAACAGCCAGGGCTATGCTAAGCAAAGTTAAGAGTCAGGATCCCAGGATTCCACAGGTATGTCACATGGATGGCAGAGACCTAAGTACTTTTGAGCCATGATTTGCTGTCTTCCCAGGTACATTAGCAGGGAGTTGGATTGGAAGTGGAGCAAGCAGGTCTCCAATATGGAATGCCAGCATTGCAATCAATGGCTTAAGCCACTATGCCACAATGCTGGTTCGGGTGGCTAACTCTATCCTGTCCTCCATTCTGTGGCTCTTATAATTAAATTCAGGAAATCTCAGGGTGTTTTTTTTTTAATTACTAACACTATGCGGTATATGATATGTAAAAATCAAATACAGGTAGATTTTATGGTCACAGAGGTGCAGGGAGTACTCAGGAAGTTTAAGTGGAATTTTTAAAGGTTTTGTTGTCTTTAAAATTGTTAGTATTGCCGAAATTCTCTACATAAGCTATCCATGACAACTGCTACCGTTTTTTCTTTCTTACTGTGTTAGGACTAATGCCTTTACATGATTATCTCATCCCTTAGGAAATGGGTTCCACACTTTTCATGTTATAGATCTGGATAGTGAGCCCTAGAGAGATTAAGCTCAAGGTTGCAAATCTTTGAACTGTCAAGTGTTGCTAGAGGGTTAAATGAGTTGATGAACTCGCACACAGTAAGTGCACAGTAGTACTTGGCACACAGTGGGGTCAATAAATGTCAATAAATGAGGATTGTTGTTATAGATATTGAATAGTACTTATTGCCCTGTACTACTCTTATTGACTCTTCTGTGTCCTTGCCGTTTGTGGGAAAGGATTGAAAATAGAATCTGAGTCTCATAACCATAAATCTGCTGTGCTAGCACAGTGTCTTGTGAAGCCAGCACTTATCAGATGCTTATTGAAAGAGGAAGGGAATGAATTAATAGACAAATAGCCACAGCCTTTAAATATGTTCTTCCTACTACTCCACACAGGTGGTGTTTCCTTATCCTAATGGGATTACACTTCTTGGAGTTTCAGTCTGTTTTCTTCTGGACCCAAATAAGATCCAGGGACATAGCAGTAAATACAAGCAAGTGCTCTATACATGCTGTGGGTGACTAAGGACGCCTATCTTGGCTGCTTTAGCAGATCCCAAGCAGTGTCCCAGAGACCACTGGGACAGATGTCAGGTCCACAGCCTCACAAAAGCTACACCTCCTCCATCTCCATGTCAAGAACACAGAGGGAAGCCAGAGACTTGCCTGAAGTCTCCCTACTTGGTGATAGAGTGGCTGTGACTCCTCATCAACTGACCTGTGGCTCTTGTGTCCATCATACTACTAGTTCTACATAAATTCACAATTTGAGAAAAGAGGGAAAAGAGCAGAATCTTCAGTCAAAATGTTTAATCTGATTCAAGGCGTTGGGGTGGGAGGGACTTGGGGACACCAGCAGGAACCAAGGAAGTACAAAGGCCCTAGCTCCTGATGCTCAGACACTCTCTGTAGGACTCTTGAGACAGGGCAGTGCAGGAAGTGGGTTCCTAGCCATTCCCACTCACAGGAGGAGACCAGGGCACAGGAATCCTGCTCTAGGCTTCCTCACTATGGGGACTATCTTTCTAGGCTGCCTCAGAACACCTGGCCCTACTCAAGTGGAAGCTGAAATAGAAATGACTACCTTGTCAAACTTCAGGTAATCGTGGTGGGAATTAGGAGCTGGTTACTACCTGAAGACAGTCAGAAGTTGGAGCAGGGGGTAGGGGAGGGAGAAAAGGAGGGAGACATGAGCACCAGCCAATAATGAAGAGCTGGGGATCAGGTATAGTCCCTATTTCGACTACAAAGTCAGCTGGACGTGCTGGGTAGGTCAGGGCTGCACCGCTGTGCTCAGCCCCTCTTTCCTGTCCTTTGCTCATTCTTGCAGGCTACAAGTCTGGTTGGGTGTGTTGGAGGGAAAGAGGGTTCTCAGGAAAGTCCAACTACCAGAGGCTCAGGAGCAGAATCATGGCAAGGGTACAAAACAGAAGAGCCACCCAGGACTGCGGCTGCAGAACAGAGCTTTGATTCTGTGGAAGAAATGGAATGGAGTCAGCTCAGGGAACCATTTCTATTTCAGTGACATCAGCCAAGACATCCCCCTGCCCTTGAGGTGTTCACCAGAAGTCATGGCACAAGGAGGTCAGCCCTTTGCCCTTAGCCCCCTGATCTAACAGCTTTGGGTCCCCTCCCCCCCGCCCCCAGCTGGGTCAGGAAAACAATAGAGGATGTAACCCAAGAGGCCCTACCTGGCGTTCCATCACGGTAAGGGTGGAGTCCACCCAGTTCTGGGAGAAGATCTGGCTGTGAAAACGCATCTTGGCTGCCATAGCCTTTACTGAGCAGAGGAGAGAAGGTAGGTTGGAAGAGGTGGTACACAGGGACTCTGGGATATAAGACAGGATGGGAGTGGGAATGGGGCATTCTCTCATCATTTGAGCTGGAAATGTTCCCAGTGCAGAACTATCCCTGGGCCAGAGAGGCTGAGCATATTGAGGGTGTGTGTGTGTGTGTGTGTGTGTGTGTGTGTGTGTGTGTGTGTGTGATGGGGACGAGGGGAGAGGGATGTCATTCAGGGAGCAGGAGACAGAAGAAAGGTCCAGGAGTGGTTGGGGGGTGGGGAACCAAAGCCACTGCTGAGGAGGAGTTGCTCTTTCTGAAGGAGACAAAAAAGTTCTAAGGCACAGGGTTGGCCATTTCTCTCCCTCCAGCTCCAGCTAATGGGGCCATAGAGGCAGTGAACAAACAGAGGGCATACTCACTGAGACAGGGGTTGTGGGAAAAGGAAGCTTCCAGACGCTCACATTCATCCTGCAGGTTGCCACTGCCACGGCAGGTGCAGTTCAAGGCAACACTGGTATTAATGTTGCTGACAAAGTTGGGGGTCATGGCAGTCCCTGTGGGGGTGAAGAGAGGAAGGGTTTATCAGGGTCTAGAATAACCCTAGCTTCAGTTCCCACCCTCTCTCACCATACTTTGGTCCACATCATAGGGATTTCAAAGCAGTTATCCTTAGGGGCAATCCCCCTGGGGTCCGCACCCACGCCCAGCCTTACCAATCAGCCCCAGGTATGCTCGCAGACATTTAGATTGCTCTGTTGCACAGGTCCCTAGGATATCCATGGGATGGCAGTGGGTCTGGAAATCTGCCAGGCGTGACCTAGAAGAAAGGAATATTGTGGGACCCCACTGAGGGCCTAGCATGCAGTTTTCACCTTTGCTACCATTTTGCTTGGCAGGTCCATCTTCCCAGAACATTCTCATCTGCCTTCAGGGTCCAGCCCAGAGCCTCCTCCTCACAAAAGCCTGTTCCTGTTCCAAAGGAATATCCTTACATCATATCACTCTGCACCTAGGCTCCACTATCTAGTTATGAGACCTCAGGCAGCATTTTTTCACCTGTTTGCTGACTAAGAAATAGACAGAAGTTAACAGCACCACCTCTTGGAATTTTGTGAAGATGAAGTATGAACCTGCATGTGTAGGGGGCTGGTATGGTGGTACAGCAAGGTTAGCCACCACTTGCAATGCTGGCATCCTATATTGTAGTACTATTCAAGTCTTAGCTATTCATTGCACCTGGGAAGATAGCAGAAGGTGGCAGGCAACTGGGCCCCTGTCACCCAAGTGGGAGACTCGATGGTGTTCCTGACTCCTGGTTGCAGGATGGCCCAGTCCTGGACTTTGTAGGCATCTGGGGAGTAAGGCAGCAGATGCTAGGTCTCTCTCTTTCTCTCCACCACTTTGACTTTCAAACAAATAAATAAATCTTCAAAAAGGATGAGTGGTGGGCAGAACTGTGGTACAATAGGTTAAACCATGACCTACCAGCATACCATATGGGGAGCTGATTTGAGTCCTGGATATTCCACTTCAATCCAGCTCACTACTAATGCACCTTAGAAAGCAGCAAAGGATGATGCTCTGAGTGCTTCTGCCCCTGTACCCACCTGAGAGATCCGGATGAAGCTCCTGACTTCATCCTGGCTTACCCTTGGCTGTTACTGCCATTTGGAGAATCAACCAGAATATAGAAGATCCCTCTATCTCTCCCTCTTTCTCCTTGAAACTCTACCTCTAGAACAAATTTTTTTTTAAAAAAAGTAATACAAAATTTAAGAGAGAATGCTGCATTATATTTAGCTCAGTATCAGTCACACATTAAGTGTTCAATATATGCTAGATATTGTTTTACTCATACTCTACAATAGGTAAAGTTGAGTTCTTCAAGAAATAAAATTACAAGTATGTTTTTCAGTATACATTTTTGTATTTTGTTACATTTTGCTTTGTTAGGTTATAATTTATTTCCCTGTCACCCTTATTCTGCTGCACACTCCTTGAAGTCAGAGACAATATCTTGGCTACCTACTTTCCAGGTAAATTACCAGGATTGGAAGTGGCACAGCTGGGGCTCAAAGAGGCATTCATATGAGATGCCAACACTGCAGGCCACAGTTTAGCTTGCTGAGCCACAGCATCAGCTGCAATAAATAAACATTAAAAAGGGGAGGAGGGGTACTGGGGCAGTTGGGAAGCTGGGTATAGCTTCTTCCCTTATCTCCCCTTTCCCCCAGAAACAGGAAGAAAAAATGAAAATTTTACAAACAATGATCATATCCACTTTTCTCTAACCCTCCATCCTTCCCACCCTGACCAACTATGTAAACATCACCTAAATTAAAAAAAAAAAAAGTTGTGGGGGAGGGAGGAAGAAGGGAGGACTGGCACCATGGCTCAACAGGCTAATCCTCCACTTTCAAGCGCCAACATCCTATATGGGCACCAAGTATTCATATCCCAGCTGCTTCACCCGCAATCTAGCTCCCTACTTATGGTCTGGGAAAGCAGCAGAGAATGTCTCAAATCCTTGGGACCCTGCACCAACATGGGAGACCTGGGAGAAGCTCTGGGCTCCTGGCTTCAGATCACCTGAGCTCTGGCCGTTGAGGCCATTTGGAGAGTGAATCAAGAGATGGAAACTCTGTCTCTCCTTATCTTCATAAATCTATCTTTCCAATAAAACATATTTTTAAAAATGAAACACATGCTGTTTTTTAAACATACATTCAACAAACTTTTTAAAGATCCCTCATATAGATAGATTTCAACATTTTTTGTGTACCAAAGTAAGTTTTATAAATTTCATTTCCCATAAATTTTCTGAGGTGCCAATGCAGCTTTCAGTATATTAGATGGAGCAGAGCAGTTAAGATGCACAGATCCTAGAACAGATCCCTAAAATTCTAAACCTAACTGAAACCTGACTTACTATCTGGCTGATCTTCAGCAAGCTATTGAAGCTTTCAGGCCTGGCACAGTGGTGCAATTGGTTGATCCTCCCCTTTCAGGGGCCAGGATCCCATGTGGGTGCAAATTCATGACCCAGCTGCTCCACTACCTACCCCACTACCTGCTTATGGCCTGGGAAGGGAGTGCAAGATGGCCCAAAGGCCTTGGTACCTTGGACCCAAGCTTTCCTTGTTTTGGTTTCTTCATTTTTAAACCAAGGGTGATTTTTTTTTTTAAACATTCTATGGACTTCTTGAGAGGTTCATATTAGCTAATCTGTGTTAAATACTTAAAACAGTACCCAAACCTAAGTAAGTATGCAGTAAATTTAGTATTATAATTACTGAGGGCCTTGATTATGTGATAGTTGAAGATAAAGTCACAGAAGTTAAGTAATTAACTCAAGGGTACAAAGAAACAAAAGGCAGAAGTTGCAAAACAAGGCTGAGTGACTGTCATTGTCAACACATGTCACTTCAAGAGATAACAAGGTCAATTTGGCAAGTGTTTTATCCTACAAGGGCACAGGAAATCAGATCAGAGTTACAGGTCTTCCAGAGTATATTATAAATCTTCATGTCCTTCAGTTTAGTGATAGAATTTGTAGTAACACGCCCTAAGTAAAAAATCACATTTGTGCACAGAGCTTAAAGAGTGATGTTTGTAGCATCATTGTTTATAGCAGTAAAGAACAAAACTGAGTTCAATGAAAAAAGTCAATCCAAAAAGGACAAATATCATATGTTCCCTCTGATAGAAGGCAACCTTCATATAAAATACAAAATCACTGTCCTTTCACCACCACATTGCTACATTTTATGATGTTTGATATTTTTGTTTTTGTTTTTGTTTCCTTCAAAAAAGTTATTTTTTCTTATTAATTTATTCACTGACTCACAGGTCACACAGTAGCATCACTTGCTTCAGAAAGGTTTTTTTTTTTTCATTTCTTCAGCAACACATTAGTCATTCAGTAGCATATTATTCAACTATATATTGCTGTTAATTTTCTATTTTTTCTTCCTGTTGTTGATTCTGTTTTATGACTTTTCATTTAAGGGGATATAGAGTGTGCAATAGAGAATCTCACATCCAGATGTTAAGATACTGTGCAGTGTGCATCTCTACTTTCAAATCAAAGATGAACTCCCAATGGAACTGCTCAATATGTCTTACAATAGGATGCTGGACTCTGCCATTATCCACACCTACAATGTCAGGACACACTTAAACAGCAGAATGATGGACTTTTGACTGTTATGAAGGACTATACTATTGTAACAATAGAGAGGAAATTTGTGGGGGGTAAGGTCTTGGGGAGGGGGAAAGCAAAATCAAAGAGCCTAGGGAACTGTATCATAAAACAATGAAATAAAATTTTAAAATAAATTAAAAACAATTTTTAAAAGTCATACAAATATATGAAAAAAACTGAAATTATCCAACACAGAGATTGCTTAAAGTAAGTGTAGAGCATCCACATAATGCAAGCATTTGAAATCCAAGTTCTTAAAGGATAACAAATGATAAAATAAGCACTATCATTTACTGAGCACATACTCTGTACTGGTAAACTAAGCTAAGCACCCTACAATCTACACAAATTATAGAATTCAACTCTCACCATGATGTCTTCATAAGGAGTTCACATAGTACAGGACTAACTAGAACCATGGGTTAAGTAATGGAATTTTAGATAAACTGGTATGCTCTCAAACATATCAACCCAAAACTTTAATTTTTCATCTGTCTGACATCAAAGCTGGCCTTAGCCACCATTCCATAATGTTTCAATGAGAAAATGTTTGTGAGATATGCACCAAAAATTTTTAAAAAGACACAAATACAAAGGTGCTTCATTAAATTTATATAAAACAGAATTAAAATGGGCCCAGCATGGTAGCTTACTGGCTACTTACATGCACCAGGATCCCATATGGGTGCGAGTTCATGTCCCAGCAGCCCCGCTTCCCATCCAGCTCCCGGGTTGTGGCCTGGAAAAGCAGTCAAGGATGGCCCAAAGCCTTGGGACCCTGTACCTGTATGGGAGACCCAGAATAGTCTCCAGTTTCTGACTTCAGATTCGTGCAGCTTAGGCAGTTGTGGCTGCTTGGAGAGTGAATCATCAGATAGAAGATCTTCCTCTCTGTATATCTGACTTTCCAATAAAAAAAATCTTTAAAAATATAGAATTAAAAGGTAAGTGTATTTTGGTGTAAACCATTTTTAAAATCCATGTACACAGGAAGGTCTTCAAAAAGTTCATGAAAAAAAAAGTCTATGAAAATGAGCATTGTGGAAAAACATGGATTTCAAAATTATTTTCATGAATTTAAAAATATTTTTTAAGATTTAGTTTTATTGTAAAGTCAGAAATACAGAGAGGAGGAAAGACAGAGAGGAAGATCTTCCATCTGATGATTCACTCCCCAAGTGACTGCAATGGCTGGAGCTGCACCAATATGGAGCCAGGAGCCTGGAGCCTCTTTTAGGTCCCCCCACTCGGGTGCAGAGTCCCAAGGCTTTGGGCTGCCCTTGACTGCTTTCCCAGGCCATAAGCAGGGAGCTGGAGAGGAAGTGGAGCTGCCAGGATTAGAACTGGCACACATAAGGGATCCTGGAGTTTATAAGGTGAGGAGTTTAGCCACTAGGTTATACCATGCCGGGCTCCAAAATATTTTTTAAAGATATATTTTGTTATTTATTTGGAAGAGAGTTATAGAGAATATCCCATCTGCTGACCCACTTTCCAAATGGCCAAAATGGCAAGGGCTGGCCAGGACCAAGTGAGGAGCCAAGAGCTCCATCCTAGTCTCCCATAAGAATGGTAGGGTATCGAAGGACTTGGGCTACTTCCTATAGTTTTTCCACATCCATTAGCACTGGGATGGATGGTAAGTGGAACAGCTGGGACTGCAATCAGTGCTCATGTGGGGAGCTGGAGTCCTAAGCAGCAGTTTAACCTGAGGGCCAATGGTGTGGCTCAATATGTTAATCTTTTAACTATAAATGCTGGCATCCCACATACGCAGGTTCATGTCTTGGCCACTCCACTTTTTGTCTGACCCTCTGCTTATGGCCTAGAAAAGCACCAGAGAATGGCCAAAGCCCTTGGGATTCTGTACCCATATGGACTACCTGAAAGAAGCTCCTGGGTTTGGATCAACTCAGCTCTGGACATTGCACATTGCAGCCATTTATGAAGTGAACCAATGAATGGTAAAAGCTTTCTCTCTGTCTCATCTTCTCTCTGTAAAATCTGACTTACCAATAAAAATAAATAAATCTTAAACATTTAAACGGATATGTCACATTACCAACCCAGAGTGAAGTTTTTTAAACTTAACTTTACTTATCAGAGAATGTGTGTGCGTGCATGTGAGTCTGGGTCAGGCCAAAGCCAGAAGCCAGAAGCCAGAAACTCCATCCTGGTCTCCCACATAGGTGACAGGGTCCCAGTCACCTGGGCCATTTCAACTGCATTAGCAGGTAGTTAGTCACAAGCAGAGCAGCGACTCCAAACACTGCTGATACAGGATGTTGTCCGAAGCAGTAGCTCAACCTGCTGCAGTACAACTCACCCCTTCAGGGATATTTTTGAAGCAACCTCTACTGTTTAAAATTCCATCTCTACTACATTTTAAGGAACGTTTCTTCAGTTATCCTTCAATCCATAGAATAGAGATTTTGAGCATATACAAAGGTACCTCAAGAAGTTTAAGAACGAAATTAAAAGATAGGTTGAGGGATAGCACCATGGCATAGCAAGTAAAGCTACCTATAGGCCAGCATCCCATATGGGCACTGTTTGAGTCCTAGCTGCTCCACTTCCCATCTAGGTCCCTGTTAATGCACTTCAGAAAGCAGCAGAGGATGGCCCACGTGCATTGGCCTCTACATTCACGCGGGAGACTTGGAAGAAGCTCCTGGCTCGCAGTTTCCATCAGGCCCAGCTCTGACTGTTACGGCCATGTGGGGAGTGAACCAGTGGATGGAAGACCTCACTATCTCTCCCTCCCCCCTCAGTAACTCTCCTTTCAAATAAACCAATACTTACAAAAAAAAAAAAAGGTAAGTTTATTTTTGTGCAAAAAATTCTTTTGAGGGGCTGCCATGATGGCTCAACTGGCCATTCCTTCCCCTGCAAGTGCCAGCATCCCATATGGGCAATGATATGCACCCCAGCTGCTCCTCTCCCCCATCCATCCAGCCCCCTGATTGTAGCCTAAGAAAGCAATGGAGGATGGCCCAAATCATTGGGATCCTGTACCCGCATGGGATACCTGGAAGAGGCTCCTGGCTCCTGGCTTCAGATTGGCTCAGCTCTGGCTGTTGCAGCTATCTGGGGAGTGAACCAGCAGATGGAAGATCTTTTTCTCTTTCTCTATGTAAATCTACCTTTCTAAAATTTTTTTATTCTTCTAACATCTATGCATGAGTATTTTTATATAAACTTCTATGTTTACATTTCCTGAACTTATTATATAAAGATATATATTCTTTTGAGAGAAGAGTTTCACAAACTATTAAAAGTGGCCACCTGATTTTAACAGCCAGTGGAACAAATCAAACAGCCCCGCAAAGGAAGGAAGCGGAAAGGAGGGGCGCTGCCCGGTTCCTGCTCACCCGCACCCCATACCTGCACAGTGAGTCTGAAAGGCAGAGGCGACGCAGCTCCAGGCAGTTGGTAGCCACACTTGGGAGCGCACAGCTGGGGGCGATGGTGTTGCGGCGGCGCTCTCCACAGCCCAGGTCAGTGGGCGCACACGGGCACAGCAGCAGGCCTTGGGCATACGGCTCGGCCGCCTTCTCGAAAAAGGTGCGCAGCTGCTCCAGGCAGACGAGTCGTTGGCAATGAGAACCAGAACATGCCTCCCCATAGGCTTTGCGCAGTCGTTCACATTTGTCATTCATAGTACACAGCACGGCAAACTTGAGGCAGAGGTCTGAGTCTGGGAGAGAGGGGCACTGAATCACCAGGCACACCTGAAGCTCAGTTTCCTTAAAAATGGGGAAAATATCCGAAGTGATAACAAAGAAAGTAGTGCTGGTAGGAAAGAAAAAACTAGGACCGTCTTGAACAAAGCCACTCCTAAGCCAGGGTTTTCCTTCCACCCCCTTCCTCATCCTACTCCTTACCCTAAATAAAACCATCATCATTGTCATTATCATCATCTTCTTCTATATACATCTAACACACATTTACCTAGAATTCAAACAATCAGAAAACAGAAATAACAAGAGTCCCCTATCTCAACGCTTGCAACAAGTTTTGAGGAGAGAAACCCCAACCTGAGACCCTGCTCTACACTCTGAAGCACTTTCTGCACTGTCCTGAACAGATCACACCAAACTCTCCAGGTCTTGGTTCACACCCGTCGACATCACTGACTTTCAAATCATATGCCCAACTTACTGGCCCAGTGCTGTGGCCTAGCGGCTAAAGTCCTCACCTTGAACATACCGGGATCCCATATGGGCGCCTGTTCTAATCCCGGCAGCTCCACTTCCCATCCAGCTCCCTGCCTGTGGCCTGGGAAAGCAGTTGAGGATGGCCCAAAGCCTTGGGACCCTACACCCACATGGAAGACCTGAAAGAAGCTCCTGGCTCCTGGCTTTGGATTGGCGCAGCTCTGACCCTTTGCACGCACTTGGGGAATGAATTGGGGAGTGAATCATCTGTCTCTCCTCTCTGTATATCTGACTTTATAATGAAAACAAAATAAATCTTCTTAAAAAAATCAAATCATATGGCCAACTTACACTTGCTGCTTTGTGCACATCATGAGACATGGGACTTGATGATGGTGTTTCTACCAATGGAGCATTCCAATAGCCAGCACAACTGAGTGAGTTATTGGAACAGCTATTTAGTAGAAACAGTTGGTTGTTTATAATTCTGTGTTTTTTCTTTCTCAAAATGTGAATTCTTTATCAAGAATGGACTATACAGGCCCGGCGTAGTAGCTTAGCTGCTCAAGTCCTCATCTTGCACATGCTGGGATCCCATGTGGGTGCCGGTTCTAATCTTGGTGGCTCCGCTTCCCATCTACCTCCCTAATTGTGGCCTGGGAAAGCAGTCGAGGACGGCCCAGAGCCTTGGGACCCTGCACCCACTTGGAAGATCCAGAAGAGGCTTCAATCTCCCGGCTTTGGATCAGTGCAGCTCTGGTTGTTGCGGTCGCTTAGAGAGTGAATCAGCTGACAGAAAATCTTCCTGTCTCTCCTTCTCTCTGTATATCTGACTTTGCAATAAAAGTAAATAAAATAAATCTAAAAAAAAAAAAAAAAGATGTTTAGAAAAAAAAAAGAATGGACTACACAAAAAAGCTCCTATCTGGGCCCAGCACAATGGCGCAGTGGTTAAGGCCCTCGCCTTGCACGCCTGGGATCCCATATGGGTGCTGCTTCTAATCCCGGCAGCCCTGCTTCCCATCTAGCTCCCTGCCTGTGGCCTGGGAAAGCAGTCAAGGATGGCCGAAGGCTTTGCAAGGCTTTGGGACCCTGCACCCGCGTGGGAGACCCGCAAGAGGCTCCTGGCTTCGGATCGGCATAGCACTGACCGTTGTGCTCCCTTGGGGAGTGAATCATCGGACGGAAGATCTTCCTCTCTGTCTCTCCTCTCTGTATATCCACCTTTCCAATAAAAATAAAATAAATCTTTAAGAAAAAAAGAAAAAGAAAAAAGCTCCTATCTTGAGAGAGTTCTGAATTCACTCACAGCCCTGCTGTCCTGAAAAACAGGTATCAGAGTCCTTACCAGGCTGACGGCTCCCCACCCTGAGTCACCCCTGTAGGGATTCATGCAACTCACACTCTCTCTTTTCCTTGCCTAAAACCTCGCCCATCCCATTAGAATGGTTGAAAATGAGCAATTTCCTAGCCTTCAGGGACAAAAAAGCTATTTTCCTGACAGCCTGGAATGCTGAAATTCCATTTCAGTGCCTTTTTCTGGAACTGCTGCCACTCCCATTGCCCCCTTTGCAGCGACCCGCCTTTCAAACCAGGAAGCTCTAATGGGTTCTTGGATACCTCTTTAAAGGTTGGTCTTGGAGGTCTCCCATGGGACCAGACCTTGAGCCGCAGCTCAGACCTCTACCCCGATACAACACATCTGCGATCACTCACCTGGAAGATGGGGGACCTGTTCCCCCAGTTTTTGTTGCTCACACCTCCTGGCCTCCCTTCCCTTGGAATAAGGCTCAGCCTCCCATTCCCCAGCCTAGATGTACCCTCCCACCTGGTTTGAGCATGTCCAGTTTGCTGAGATTCATTTTCCAGGGTTTGATGGTCACCGTGTCATCGTAGGGGGAGACATCCAGCTCATAGTCACCTAGAGACAGGTGGAGACACGAGAATGCCGAGGGTCAGGGGAGGGCGGGGCAGGAGAAACTAAGGCTGCTGAGTCAGAGCTCAAAGCCCTGTGGAGGAAAGAAAAAGGCCCTGCCTCTACTTAAACAGTGGCAAGCAGTGCAAGCTGAGGTCCATGAACTGATGAGAATAATAAAGCTATCATTTGCTGAGCACACTGTGTGCTGGCCACTGTGTTGTAAGTATGAGGCACTTCAAAAGCTCATGGGAAATGGAATGGAAAAAGCTTATTTTGGTGCAAAAAAATGTTTGAAATCCAGGGCCAGAGCAGTGGCACAACAAATTAATTTACTGTCTGCAATGCCGGCATCTTTATGGGGGCCAAGTCACGTCCCAGCTACTCTACTTCCGATCCAGCTCCCTGCTTATGATCTGGAAAAAAAAATGGAGGATGGTCCAAGTCCTTGGGACCCAGCACCCACATGAGAGACCCAGAGGAAGCTCCTGGTTCCAGGCTTCAGATCAGCTCAGCTCCTGATGTTGCAGCCATTTGGAAGATGAACCAGCAGATGAAAGTTCCCTCTCTCTCTTTTTCTCTCCTTCTTTCTGTATATCTGCCTTTCAAATAAAAATAAATCTTTTTTTTTTTTTAAGTTTCAAATATGGGCCCGGCACAATAGCCTAGTGGCTAAAGTTCTCGCCTTGTAAGCACCAGGATCCCATATGGCATCAGTTCTAATCCCAGCAGTCCTACTTCCCATCCAGCTCCCTACTTGTGGCCTGGGGAAGCAGTTGAGGATGGTCCAATGCCTTGGGATCCTACACCTGCATGTGAGACTGGGAAGAGCTCCTGGCTCCTGGCTTTGGCAGTGCAGCTCTAGCTATTGCAGTCACTTGGGGAGTGAATCATCGGACGGAAGATCTTCCTCTCTGTCTCTCCTCCTCTCTGTATATCTGACTGACTTTCTTTCTTTCTTTCTTTCTTTCTCTCTCTCTCTTTTTTTCTTTCTTTCAGACCTAAACCTCACAGGACTCCCAAATGGCTGGTAGAAATGCATGTGTTTCAGCCATCATATTCTGCTTCCTGGGGTGTGCATTAGCAGGAAACTGAGTAACTGGGACTTGAACTGGCACTTTGAAATGGGATACTGTTGCCCCAAGCAGTGACTTAACCAACTATGCATCTGAAAATGCATTGGTCACTGGAACCAGGATGCTATAGTGACAATATTGAGAGAGAAGGAAGGAGGGAGGGAGACAGAGAGAGAACCTGAAATGTGTGGTGTTGGCTTTCAGACTATGCAGTGGGTGAGGAAGAAGCTGTTACTAAGGGATAGAAAAATGGTAAAACTGCGGCCTGCAATGACTCGGCAGGCAGACGAGATGTCAAATGAGCTTTAAAGGGAGGCAGAAGGTTACTGAGGCGTCTGGATTGTGATGGGCTGCACTTAGCAAGGTGCTATCAAAGAAGGCTGCAAGTTCAGAAAAGAAATGGCCAGCTCGCAAGGAGGGAAGAAACAGAAAAGAGGACCCAGAGATTCCAGAACTTGGCAGAATTAAAGGGAAAACTGTTTCTCATATTCAAATGGTACCAGATAAAATTGAAGAAGGCTTTGAGTGATAAGGTTCATTACAGCTCAGCCCTGGCAAAAGAGACCAAATAAATTATGTGACTATCGCTCCATTTGTGGAGATCTCACAACTGATTAAGATGGTATCCAATAAATCTTGCCAGTTGGACAAATGCACTTAGAGAAAGACAGACTAAATAGTAGCTCTCCTGCACAAGCTTGATAAGGACAAGGTAGCTCTAATTAAGTCTAGGAAGAGAAGCCTGTTCTGAATTGTGGGAAAAAGCTACTGGCACACGAGATGACAGAAATGAAAAATATAAAAAGCAATTATGTTTTGAGAGGGCTGAACTGCTAAGAGCCAGATTAAAAGAGACTGGGACTATTTGAGACTTAAAATGCCCCCAACGTTCCTCAGGCAGGAAGCAGGTTGCGCACACTGGTCAGTCCCCAAGGAGACTGTAGTCTCTGATGCCCTCCTCTAATACGGCTGCAGAGAACAACGGAAAAAGAAAGGCCTTCCCAGAGGGCTGGGCCAAGAGCCCTAGAGAATCCTGGGCAGGGCAACCACTCCCGTTGAGCAGAAACAGGGCCTTCTGAAAGAAAAGTCCCTAATTCCAGAAAGAAGATGCTGGTAACTTTTGCCTGTTTCCGAAATGCTATGAATCAGTGTGCGTTGTGTGCTTCCCACTCCTCCCCTTTCTGTGAGAGCTTGCTCTCCAGCTATCTGGACTCCGATCCATTATCGTATACTGAACATGTACTGTCTTCTGGTGCACATGTTTCCAGATCCAAAGGAGCTCATGTTGAGGACCAGTTTGTGGTGCGTCCTGTTAAGCCGTTGCCTGTGATGCTGGCACCTGGTATCCAAGCACCACTTGAAGATGCAGTTGCCCTGCTTCTGACCCAACTCCCTGCTAATCATGTGCCTGGAAAATCAGCAGAAGATGACACAAGTATTTGGGTGCCTACCACACACATGTGAGACTCAGATCGAAATCCAGGCTTCACTGAGACAGTTTGAGGAGTGTGTGTCTCTGCCTCTCTCTGTGTGTCATTCTGCCATACACACAAATAAATCCTAAAAAAAAAAAAAGGTAAGGGGACGAAGCCACATCTAGTGCCAATATAGGAACTATCATCAGAGCCCAGCATGATAGCCTAGTGGCTAAAGTCCTCTCCTTGCATGTACCAAGATCTCATATGGGTGTTGGTTCTAATCCCAGCAGTCCTGCTTCCCATACAACTCCCTGTTTGTGGCCTGAGAAAGCAGCTAAGGATGGCCTGGGAAAGCCTTGGGACCCTGCACCCACGTGGAAGACCCGGAGAAGGCTCCAGGCTCCTGGCTTTGGATTGGTGCAGTTCTAGCCGTTGCAGCTGCTTGGAGGGTAAATCAGCAGATAGAAGATCTTTGTCTCTGTCTCTCTCTCTCTCTGTATATCTGCCTTTCTAATAAAAATAAATAAAAGCTTTTTAAAAAAAAGATTATTATTTTAAAAAATACCTGAAGCAGCCAACACAAAACATGAGCAAGAACTCAACCTTTGTTTTGCTAGTTTTGTTATGTGAGCACACATAGCCCAGTAAAAGTTAACTACTAAAAACAGCTATTGGTTGTGAGCATGTGGCTCAGTGGGTAAGCTGCCACCTTCAATATTGGTATTCCATCTCAGTGCCAGTTTGAGCACCAGCTGTTTCACTTCCAGTTCAGTTCTCTGAAAAAGCAGCAGAAGGAGACCCAAATTCTTGGGCCCCTGTCATCCTGATGAACAACCTAAATGGAGTTTCAACCTCCTGGCTTTATCCTGGACCAGCCCCAGCCAATGAAGCCATCTGGGGAATAAATCAACGGATGAAAGATTTCTGTATCTCTGTCTGTCTATGTATTTCTACCTTTTAAATAAGTAAATTAAACAAAAAGACAGGGGTCTATGGAAAGAGCCCAGAGCCACTCCTGCAATAAACCTGCCTTTATATATATATATATTAAATATATATATATTAAAATATATACATTTGAGAAGCAAAGCGAGAAAGAGAGAAACAGAGAGCTTTTTAGTCACTGGTTCACTCCTTAAATCCCTACAATGGGAGAGAAAGGAGGGCCAGCACCATGGCTTAACAGACTAATCCTCTGCTCTGCGGCACCAGTATCCCATACAGGCACTGGTTTGTGTTCCACATGCTCCATTCCTGATCCACTCCTCTGTTTATGGCCTGGGAAAGCAGCAGATAATGCCGGGTGGAAGATCTTTCTCTCTGTCTTCCTTCTCTCTGTAAATCCATCTTCCCAAAAATAAATAAATAAATCTGTTTAATGAAAATGCTTACAATGGCCTATGCTGGGCTGGGCTGAAGCTAGGATCTGGAAACACAATCTAGGTCTCCCATGGGGGTGACAGGGACCCAACTACACAAGCCCTCACACATACAAGCCCTCACACATTGCCTCTTAGGGTCTGCATAGAATTGAAGTCAGAATCAGGAATCAGAGGCAGGAATCAACTTGGGGAATTACAATATGGGATACAGGTTTCTTAGCTGATATCTTAATCACTAGGCCACATGCTGGCCCTGGGTTTGGCTGTTCATATCCTTTTTCTTTGTTGTCATTTCCTGTCTGGTTAAGAGTATCCTTTCTGTTAAAGACTGGACCAAGATGCCCCTGCCTCGGGGATCTTTGGGGCCTAGTTATGGGTGAAATCCCTTTCCTTTGACTTTTCTCTGTCCCTTTCTGTTCCAGGAACTCCCAGCATGAGCCTTAGCATAGTTCGCAGCTCTGCTAAGAGGGAACTATATTTGCAGATAGAAAAGCGGAAGCAGGGAGAAGAGAAGCCACTGTGGTAGAGGCCAGAAAGGATATCCGCCCATTCCTTCCCCGCCTTTCATTCTAAAACCAAGCTTCATTATCATCCCCATCAGAATCATTTATGCAGCCCATATCTTACACAATTGAAAAATAACCCTCAAGAGTCCTCTTCCCCAGCTTTGACCACTCTTACCAGGGCTGCGGGCAGAGTGAACGGTCCAATAGATGTCCAGGCAGGCAGTTTGATGCTTCATGCGCCGGTGACATGAGCAGCCTAACAGAGAGCTATTCTTCAGTTGCTGCACTGCTTCTAGGCAGTCTGCAGGGATGGGAGGCTCCTCTGAGGGTAGCAGGGTGCTTGGATTGGAGGTGCAGGACCCAAGGTGTTGGTAGGCAGTCTTACAAGCAGGATTGGCCTGGCACTTCTTCTTGGCTTGGAGACAGCTGTTTAGGAACCGGCTCTCAGTGGGAAGGGGCTCTCCTGAGGAAGGATGCATCAGGTGAGGTTCACATGAGGGCAAAGGAAGCATCTGAGAGTACTGAGTCACAAGGTAGAGTGGGGAGGATTCCCAATGAGACCTTGAGAAAGTCTTAGAGGAGCACAAAGACCTTTAGGAATAGGTGTAGGAAGCAAGAAACCCTGAAGGGCTAGACAGTCTATAGCCATCATCATCTAGACAAAACAGACAATGCCCAAGAAATGATGGGGATTTGAAGAAAGGTAGCTCGGCCTCCAGCGAGGTGAAAGAGAGTAGTGGTTTGAAGCTGATCCTACTAGGGACAACAGATCAGCAACCTGGGCAGAATCATATCTTCGACAAGGCAAGCATCACAACCAGAGAATATGTACAGTGCAAAATGAGAGTTAAAAACAACTTTGAGTCTTTCATTAAGAGTCATTAAGGACCTGGTGCAATAGCTCAGTGGTTAATCCTTGCCTTGCAAGCACAGGATCCTATATGTCCACCAGTGGAGCAGCAGAAAAGTTGCTCCACTTTTCATCCAGCTCCCTGCCTGTGGCCTGGGAAAGCAGTGGAGGACGGCCCAAAGCCTTGGGACCCTGCACCCACACAGGAGACCCGGAAGAAGCTCCTGGCTTTGGATTGGTTCAGCTCTGGCTGCTGTGACACTTGGGGAGTAAATCAGAGGAGTGAAAGATCATTCTCTGTCTCTCCTTTTCTCTATAAAATCTGCCTTTCCAATGGAAATAAATAAACCTTTTTAAAAAGGCACTTTAAAAAAAAAGTCACTTAAAAACATGGAGCCAGCATTATAGTGCAGTGGGTTAAACCATTGACCATGACGCTGGCATCCCATATTGGAAAGCCAGTTCAATTCCTGATCCAGGTTCCTGCTAGTGTGCCTGGGGAAGCATCAGAAAATAGATCAAGTATTTGGCTTTCCACCCATATGTGAGACCTATATGGAGACCCTGGCTCTTGACTTCAGCTTGTTCCAGCCCTTGCTGTTGTGGCTATGTGTGGAGTGAATCAGTTGATGGAAGATTTTCCACTTCCTCTTTCTCTGGCACTTCGTCTTTCAAATAAACAATACTCTTTTTAAAAAAATGTAAAAATACCTTGGGGCAGGTGTTAAGCAGGTGCAGCAGTTAAGCCACTACTTGGGTTTTTAGTCTTGGCTCCATTTCTGAATCCAGCTTCCTCCTAATGCCTCAAGTACCTCAAGTACATAGCTCGCTGCCACTCACGTGGGAGACCTGGATAGAGTTCCCAGCTCCTGGCTTTGGTCTGGCCCGGCCCTTGTTGTGTCAGGCATTTGGGAAGTGAACCAACTGGTGGAAGATCTTGCTCTCTGTCATCTTCTGTCTTTGTTTTTTGCTGCCTTGCAGACAAATAAAAATTGCTTTTTAAAAATTCCTTAAGGTGGAAATGGCTGCAGTTAGGGTGTGGAGTTATTGCCAGAACGGGAGTAGACATAATCTGACCCAGTCACTTAGTGGTAATTACTGAGGTCAGTTGTAACTCAGACCAAAGAAGCCCCTTGCAACCTATGACTTAAGACCCCCATCACGGGAGACACAACCTCCCACCCCAGTTGTTCAGAACAAAAGAAACCTAGGAGTCATTCTTAATTCTTCTCTTTCCTTCATGTCCTGTGCTTAATGCACCAAGTCTTATCAACTCAACAACACAAATGGAACTTATGTACTTTTCCCATCAAAATGTACTTACATCTTCTTCCATAAGCTTTTTTTTTTTTAAAGATTTATTTATTTATTTGAATGTATTTGAATCAGAGAGAGATTTTCCTTCAATGGTTAACTTCTCAAAAGGCCACAGCTGCCAGTTTGGGGCGGGGTGAAACCAGGAAGGCAGAAGTCCATCTGGATCTCCCACATGGGTGGCAGAGACCCAAGTGTTTAAGTTTTTACCTGCTGCCTCTCATTGTTCACATTAGCAGCAAACAGGAATTGCAAGCAGAGCTGGGAGTCAAATTCATGGATTTGACATGGATGTGGGAAACCCAACAACATCTCAACCCTTGCACTAAATCCCTGCCCCAGATATCTTTAAGTGAACCTTTATTTTTTTTAGCTTTAACATTATTTTCTTTTAAAAATTTATTTATTTATCTTAAAGTCAGAATTACAGAGAAAGGGAGTTGGGCTGGTTCACTCCCCAGATAGCTGTAGCGCACTGGGTTGGGTCAGGCTATAGCCAGGTGCTGTGAGCTTCTTCCAGGTTTCCCACATGAGTTCAAGGGCCAAAGTATTTGGGTTATCTTCCACTGTTTCCCAGGCTTATAAGCAGAGGGCTAGATAGGAAGTATAGCAACTGCATTTGAACTGGCACCATTTGATGTTGCAGGTAATGGCCTAATTTTCTGTCTCAGCTCTAGCCCCTCATCCTTCTAAAATATGTGTAAACAAGTGGCACCAGTTTACTTCTCTCTGTAAATCTCCCTTTCCAATAAAATATATCTTTTTTAAAGTTTATTTTAAAAGAAATAAGATTTATTTATATCTATTGGAAAGGCAGATTTTCAGAAAAAGGAGACAGGAATATGTTCCACCTGCTGGTTCACTTCCCTAACAGCCGCAACAGCCAGAGCTAAGCTGATCCAAAGCCAGGAGCCAAGAATTTATCCTGGGTCTCCCACATAGGTGCATGGGTCCAAGGCTTTGGACCATCCTCTGCTGCTTTCTCAGAATGTAAGTAAGGAACTGGATGGGAAGCAGAGCAGCTGGGGCACAAACAGGCAACCTTATGGGATCCCAATGCTTGGAAGTGGAGCATTAACCAATTCAGTTATTATGCCAGGCCCAACTTACTTTCATTTTATTTGAAAGGTAGAGGGACAGAGATTTTCCACCTCAGGTTTACTCCATAAATGATGCAAATAGCTGTGGTTAGTCCAGGCCAAAGCTTGGAGTGCAGAATTCAATTTGTGTCTCCTGTGTAGGTGGCAGGGATCCAAGTACTTGAGCCATCATCTGCTGCTTCCCAGGAACACACTAGCTGGAAGCTGAATCTGAAGCAAAGGAGCTATGACATGAGCCATACACTCTGATATGAAATACAGATATCCCAAGCAAGATTTTAACCACAACAAACATCCATTTCTGGGCCCAGCGCGGTGGCGCAAGTGGTTAAGGTCCTTGCCTTGCACGCCTGGGATCCCATATGGGTGCTGCTTCTAATCCCGGCAGCCCTGCTTCCCATCCAGCTCCCTGCCTGTGGCCTGGGAAAGCAGTCCAGGACGGCCCAAAGCTTTGGGACCCTGCACCCACATGGGAGACCCGGAAGAGGCTCCTGGCTTCAGATCAGAATAGCACTGACTGTTGTGCTCACTTGGGGAGTGAATCATCAGACGGAAGATCCTCTCTGTCTCTCCTCTCTGTATATCTGCCTTCCCAATAAAAATAAAATAAATCTTTTTAAAAAAAAACATCCATTTCTTAGCCCTACTTGTTTGTTGGAGGGTGGGCTTTTTCTTTCTTAAGATTTATTTTATTTTTACTGCAAAGTCAGATATACAGAGAGAGGAGGAGAGACAGAGAGGAAGATCTTTCATCCAATGGTTCACTCCTCAAGCAGCTGCAATGGCCGTTGCTGCGCCAATCGAAGCCAGGAGCTTCTTCTGGGTCTCCCAAGCGGGTGCAGGGTCCCAAGCTTTGGGCCGTCCTGGACTGCTTTCCCAGGCCACAAGCAGGGAGCTGGATGGGAAGTGGGGCCGCCGAGATTAGAACCAGTGCCCATATCCCGGCGCGTTCAAGGCAAGGACTTTAGCCGCTAGGCTACAACACCAGGCCTGGCGCTTGGTTTTTAATTGAGTATCTCCCCCTCCAGACTTTACTGTCTATCTTATTGCCATTTATTCCCAATACTTATTTACTGTGAACCCCTGCTTTTAAAAGAGTAAACAATACTGTAGTGGGACATTCTGTGAGGCACTTCTACAACCTCTTTGGGTCCCTTCCCTTTTATAATTAAAGGGTTCCAAAATTGGAAGGGACAACATAGTTCAGTTGGCCTAACCTCCTCATCCAATCACTTAATAACTAATCAGACCAATTGCTGAAACACAGATTTCTGTGTCCTACTCTACCTAATGACTCAGAATATGTGAGGATTATGTCTAAGAATATGAGTTGTGGCACATTCCCTGGAGAGTCTGAGCTCCCTAAAGTTTGAAACTGGTGTCACATCAAGCAGTACCCACAATTTCTCCATTTGTCTCAGGCTCCAAATGTACTTTAGCATGCCATCCTTATTCTACTTAAAATTTTGATATTTTATTTATTATGGATTGTTTGGAATTCATTTTGATTTTTAAAAAAATACTGCAGCAAAATATTATTTATCTCAGGGTTGCAGGTTAAGCTGCCATCTGCAACATCAGCATTCCATATGAGAACCAGTTCCAACCAGCTCCCTGCTAATATTCTTTGAAAAGTAATGGGAGATGGTCCAAGTATCTGGGCTACTGCCATCCGTATAGAGTAACATATGCACATAACAGACAGGACTTGGTCAGGCTGAAGCCAGAAGCCTGTTACTCAATCCTGCTACCCTACATGGGGGCCAGGGACGCAAGTACTTGACCCCATCATCTGTTATCTCTCAGGATGCATGTTAGTAGGGAGCCAGGATCAGAATCAGGAAGACTGGGACTCCAAGCCAGGCTGTCTACTATGGATTATGGACATTTCAAGTGGCATCTTAACTGCTGTGCTAAATACTCTCCCCTCCTACGTGGCTTAAAATTATTTTCAATATAAGATGCCACTTCCCTGAGAATTAGATCTCTGTTTTAACTTTGTCTATTTATTTTAACATGCATATTTATTTATTTATTCAAAAGAGAAATGGAGACAAAGCAAGCACCCATCTACTGGCTCCCTCTCCAAATGCTGTAGTCCTGCACATTAGCAGAAAGCTAGAATTGGGAACAGAGCCAGATTCTGAACCCAGGCACTCTGATATGAGATGTGGGTGTCCCAAGAGACAGTCTTAGTCATAACCACTGTGTTGAACGCCTGCCCCTATGCTTGGCTTTGGTAGGCCAAAGTCTGTCAGATTTCATTGCAACTATCAAAGGTCTCTGTTGGTTCCGCCTGTTGGGAAGTACCTGGCACTACAAGGCAGCTCGTGGGACATTGTTTAGAAATTTTCCACAAGGGCCCGGCGCGGTGGCGCAAGTGGTTAAAGGTCCTCGCCTTGCACGCCCGGGATCCCATATGGGCGCCGGTTCTAATCCCGGCAGCCCCGCTTCCCTTCCAGCTCCCTGCCTGTGGCCTGGGAAAGCAGTCGAGGACGGCCCAAAGCTTTGGGACCCTGCACCTGCGTGGGAGACCCGGAAGAGGCTCCTGGCTTCGGATCGGCATAGTATCGGCCCGTTGCGCTCACTTGGGGAGTGAATCATCGGACGGAAGATCTTCCTCTCTGTCTCTCCTCTCTGTATATCCGCCTTTCCAATGAAAAAATAATAAAAATAAATCTTTAAAAAAAAAAAAAAAAAAAAAAGAAATTTTCCACAAGACCACAAGGTTGCTTCATCAGAAATCACTGCTGTCAGCCAAGCACTGTGGTGGGAAACAGACCTATCTCCCATTCTTCTTCACTACACCAGTTTGTGTTTACCTCTGGTCGTTAGAGCTCACGGTATTTCCAGGGCAGCCAAAACAGACCTGTGTTTTGCTGTTGCCCTGATTTCCAGGTACAGTCCACCTCGAGTCCACCTTGCCATCCTGCGTTACCACCTTGGGAACCCAGGCAGCAGGGTCACGTGTGTGGTGTCTGCCCCGGAATTCCCTCCCCGCAGGCTCTGAGTCTCACCAAGAGATGTCAGGCAGTGTCCCACTTGTAAAGGCCACGGGAATGTTTGCAGGATCTCAGACCTCAGGCTGCCCTTCCTGGGGGAACAGCAGTTCCAAAATCAGGCCTTGGACTCTGCTCGGCTCCTGACCAGCTGCAGATCTGCTGTCCACAGGACAAGGCTCTGCATTGGGTGGCTTGCAGAGGAAATCGGGACATTTTAATGCAGATTAAAATGGTGAGCATGCCCCCGGGCGGTCAGAGGAGAGGTACAGGTGGCTGGTAATATTCTCACCAATATAATCAAATAATGGTGTTAGCAAGTTCTGCGCAGTAGTTTACAACCCCAACCTGCGACGAGCCAGTTCTAACAAACTTTTAACCTGTGTGTATGACTTTCCCAAGCACAAGAACTGAAGCAGCCCACATGCAGCAAACTGCACTGGCTGGGCAGTGTAGACACTGCTTAAAAGAAGGTAGGGGGAACCAGGAGCGAGGAGGCGCATGGGTGCCCTGGCCGCTGCTGCCATTCTGTATCAGTTCTGACACCATGTGAGGCACGGAACCCAGCTCCTTCCCGGCGCCTGGGGCTTGCTCTTCCAGGTGGACAGATGTCCAGGACGAAGCAGCGGCTGCACCCTTTCTGAGCAGGCGTGACCAAACACACTCATCTCCATCTCCCTCTAAAGTACAGATCGTTGCCGGCTCCGCGCACCCACGGACACGACACTCACCAGCTCCAAGCGCCAGCAGCAACGGCAGCAGCAGGACCACTAGCGGCAGGGGTCGCAGGTTGCGGGGACGCACCATGGCGGGACTGGCAGAACTGGCGTACCTGGTGGCCACCCCTAGATTGCTTTGCCTGCGTGGGACGCACGTTCCCAGGCTCTTCGCGCTGGAGCTCTGCGATCAGAGACCCTGGACCGGCGCCTCCCACCGGCACCTCCCCGCCTCTCTTCACTCCATCTGACACTCGCCCACCAGAGTCCTGGGCGACGCCCTCCTCCTCCAAGGGGCGCGGCAGCACCGCACGCGTCCTGGGAGCGGCTGGGCTTTGGGGAAGAAGATGCCCCGCCCTAGTCTGCCCACCTGCTACGCTCCCGCTGCCAACTTCGCTCACTGGACAGACTCAGTGGAAGCTGCTGCTAGACACTCTCAAACTCGGGGGTTCAAATATCTCTCAAAAAAAGTACCCCCTTTCCCATATTCTGACCACCAGGTCCACCCTAAGAATGAGGGCAACTATCACAAATTAAATCTTGCAACAGTATCTCCACGAAACATTGCAAGGGTACTCGCACTTTTCTCTTAGAATTTGTAAGTTTGTGAACTAATTTTCTCTTCATAAGTATTTCGGGAGTAAGCTTCTGACTATCCCCCAAAATTCTGCAAACATGGTCGAGGCACATTGAAATGGTTTTTCTGGGAGCAGATCGAGGGTCAGACCCCAGAAGCACCAGCAGCTGCTTGGTGTCAGGAGGGAAGACAGCAGGGTTAAAGGGAGCCTCAATAGCCCAGAATTCGCAGAAGCAGAGCAAAGACAAGTACACTGAGGAAACTGACTTGTGGAGATGGCTGGAGAGCCCTGTTACTGTGGCTTGATCAGTCTCAGATATCAAGCTGTTCTGCCAGGATTAAACAACAAGGTAGAGACATCACGGTGCCCAGAACTCACATAAGGATAAGAGTATTTCTTAGCTGTGGGCCTGATTCACACTGGACCCCAGGGTGAAGATGGAAGGCAAGAATGCACACAAGAATGAGAGCCAAACAATGCTTGGAAAGAAAGACAAGAGGAGAATGAAAGAAGTGTAGGGTTTCATCCCCTAACCCTTCCATATGGGCCCCCTCCTTACTTCCCCAGCCGGCCTGGCACAGGGCCAGGAGAGAGGGTATTGAGAAGCTCAATACAAACCTCAGAGATTTATTGGCTGCTGCCTCTGAATACGGCCATCCTGCTGTGGCCTCTGGGGGGCATTTGCCGATGTAATCAGCCCAGAAAGGGAGTCATTCCAACTAGGGGTGTAAATCACCCTTCACAAAGCTAAGAGAGAGACATGTGGCCTTAGATAAGGAAGGAGACTGATGTGGCCTCTGTGCCCTTCCCTCCCTTCTGCCCAGGGGGAGCTGGTTCCTGAGCTGTAATGCACTTTAAATGGAGTTTGTGTTTCATTTTAATCTATATCTGCCCTGCTGCCTTTATAGGAGAGCTGAGAAAGTGAACATCTGGCTGCCCAGCTACTGCAAAAGAGCCTGTGTTCCCCAACCCCACCCTATCTCTATGTACCTTTCTCAAGCCCTCCCCTTCAGTAAGGCTAGGAGAGCTGGAGCTGGATGGTGAATAATCCCCACTTGCCACTCCTCTCTGTAAACAGGAATTTACAAAGCAAAAGGTAACAGCTTGCAGGTGGCTGGGGTGCTGGGAAAGCACTGAGGCTCATGACCCAAGAAAGATGTGAGGTGGTCCAGGGGTCATCATTCCTGCCATCCTTCTTCTGCAGCAACCAAGCCAAGTTTGAATAGGAGAACACCTACTCAAAGTGTCTATCCAATACTACCCCCCATGGAATGAACAGACAATCCAGGAACAGAGTCAAATGACGGGCTGGGAGCAATGCCCAGTTCCATCGGCAAGAGACTACCATTCCTGTGACACTACATGAGGTACCTGAAAGACCTTTCTGCCTGAGTTCTAGGGTAGAGCTGATATCACTGGGCCTTAATTAAGGGCTGGTAACTAAGGCTAGGGGAGGTTTGAGGAGCCTGTGCAAATAAACAGGACTCCAAGACCAATATTGACAGCTCTTAGCATACTCTCTCCCTGCCAAACATATCCTCTGTGACTGCCAACACCTGCTAGATAAGCGGCATTGCCATTGGGAACCTTGTGGATAATGACAAATGAGCCAGTCCTCTCTATAAAGATGTTATTCAGACATCATTCAATTCAATAATGTCTTTTGAGACTGATTAAGGATCCAGTTTTGTGCTAGGTGCAAAATGATGAAGACACAAACCCTGCTCTGGGAGGGCCTTGCACACCACTGACTAGGGCTCTGAGGTTAGAGTGCTGGGGACCTGCATATTCTTCCACTTTGATTTGTAATCTGGATTTTACTGATTTGCATCTGGATTTGACTTGTAATCTGGATTTTATTCTCTTATAATCAGACTATATAAATGAATGATGTCTTCCTTCAGGTTGACTTTTCCATTGAGCTTTAATTCCTGCCATCCTAAACTATGTTAGCAGTATAGTGAATAGTTAAGATCACACACTACAAATTGCCCAGATTCAATGCTATTTTCAACACCTGTTGGGTGACTTGGGACACATCTTCATCTACAGAGAGAGATAACAGTATATATTTTATGTAATAGTTGTTATGACTGAACAAGCCCTATTGGGAAAAGGGCTTAACATAGTTCCTGGCAAACAGCAATCACTAAATAGATGAAAAGACCCCAGGTAGCATGTAGGAGTTAATTCTGTAAACCTGGATGTACCTCACTACCAAACTTGATGGTTTGGTGCTGGAAGTTGCTGTATTTTTTTCCTTTTTCTGAATATACTAGTGGGCAAGAGTGTTTATAGGAATGGAAACAATGAATCATTTTCTTACTATGTGCATTTAAGACATTAAAATTTTTTTTATTTTATTTGGGCCTGGTGCCATGCCTTAATGGCTAAATCCTCACCGTGCAAGTGCCAGGATCCCATATGGATGCCAATTCACATCACAGTTGCTCCACTTCCCATTCAGCTCCCTATATGTGGCCTGGGAAAGCAGTCGGGGATGGCCCAATGCCTTGAGACCCTGCACCTGCATGGGATACCTGGAAGAGCTCCTGGCTCCTGGCTTCAGATCGGTGCAGCACTGACCGTTGCAGTCACCTGGGGAGTGAATCAGCGGATGGAGGATCTTCCTCTTTGTCTCTCCTCCTCTATGTATGTCTGACTTTGCAATAAAATTTTTAAAAAGATTTTTAAATTTTTATTAGAAAGGCAAATCAGATCTATGAAGAGAAGGAAAAACAAAGATCTTCCACCTGCTGGTTCATTTCCCAAATGGCTGCAGCAACTGGAGATGAACTAACGTTAAGCCAAGAGCAAGGGCTTCTTATGGTTCTCTCACACACGGGTGCTGGGTCCTAAGGCTTTAGGCCATTCTCCACTTCTTTCTCAGGCCATAAGCAGAGAACCAGATGGGAAGTGGAATAGCCAGGATACGAACTGGCACACATATGGGGTCCTGTCACTTGCAAGATGAGGATTTAGTCATTGAATCACCATGCTGGGCCTAATACATACAATTCTTTTTTTTTTTTTAGTAGGAAAGTCAGATATACAGAGAGGAAGAGAGAGAGGAAGATCTTCCATCCACTGATTCACTACCCAAGCACGCACAATGGCTGGAGCTGAGCCAATCTGAAGCCAGAAGTTGGGAGCTTCTTCCAGGCCATCCTCCACTGCTTTCCCAGGTCACAAACAGGGAGATGGATGTGAAGTGGGGCTGCTGGGATTAGAAGCAACACCCACATGGGATCCCAGTGCATGCAAGGCAAGGACTTTAGCCACTAGGCTACCACACCAGGCCCAATATATTCAACTGTTATAATTCCCTTCCTTCTTTCCTTAGAAATTTATTATTTTTAAATTTATTTGTGCAGAAGAGAAACAGAGCCCTTCTATCTACTGGATATTGGATGACTCCTCAAATACCTGCCAGGGTTGGGCTGATGCTAGGAACCAGGAACTCAGGTCAAGTCACCTTCGACTGCCTTCCCGGGCCACAGGCAGGGAGCTGGAAGGGAAGCGGGGCTGCCAGAATTAGAACCAGCGCACATATGGGATCCCGGGCGTGCAAGGCAAGGACCTTAACCACTGCGCCACCACGCCGAGCCCTAAAAATAAATTTTAAAAAATTACTGGGCTCGCTGCAGCCTAGTGGCTAAAGTTCTCCTTTGCATGTACTGGGATCCCATATGGGCACTGGTTCGTGTCCTGGCTGTTCCACTTCCCTTTCAGCTCCCTGCTTGTGGCCTGGGAAAGCAATGGAGGACGGCCCAAAACTTTGGGACCTGTACCTGTGTGGGAGGCCCAGAGAAGGCTCCTGGCTCCTGGCTCCTGGCTTCGGATCAGCTCAGCTCCAGCTGTTGAGCCTAATTAAGGAATGAACCAGCAGATGGAAGATCTTTCTGTCACTGCTTCTCTCTGTAAATCTGCCTTTCCAATAAAAATAAATTTACAAAAATTACTGAAATATGAATACATCTTCCCAGGTCAGAGCTTAGTTAGTTCTGTCTGAAAGAATTATCAAGACATGATGCACCAGGATGAGCAGTGAGCTGATCTCCCTCCTCACACTGGGAAGAAGAGGTGCTTTAAGTAGTTTTTTTCTTGTGCTACTAGAAATCCCTGCTTGAGGCAGGTCACACCTGTGTGGATGCAATGAGGGTCAGCACTCTCACCTCCAAGCACCTGCACCTAACGTACAAGCAATTTTTCTCTCCTTCATCCTGTCAATCTTCTGACCAACCCTTAGCCAGAAGGTCAAGCAAGTGGCTGGACTCTGTCAAGCAGGCAGTAGTTGCCCTAGTAGCTGAAGACTAGCTGGCTGTCCTGGAGAATACAGCAGTGCCCTCTGCTGTGAGGCTTGCACATGACAATCCAGCACCTCGCAAAAAAATCAGTCCAGTTACCCAGGCTGCCTATGGCTGCAACCCTCTTTCCCTCACATTTATTTAAAAAAAAAAAAAAAAAAAAAGTTTTCCCTTCCCAGTACTTGAAGAGATGTTATTTTTGTCTATTTTGTGTAAGTCTGAGCTTTAGGGCAACTTTGTCCTTTCTAGTCCTAGGCTACCACTCATAAGAGATCAATTACAGAGGATGCCAATGTTCAGTTAATTCCATGCTACCCTTGGTCAAATCAGGCTACAGCTCACTGCCAGGAAACGCTTACACCTCAAAGAGCTGTGAGGAAGCGGAGCCTGGGATGATGCTGAAGACGGCAGTTTCAAAAAAACCTCCTTATGTTTGAGGATGTCAACTGACACTTTGATTTCATCTGTATCTTAATACACAACAGATCTCTGCCTCCAACCACCCTGTGCCTACACTTGTCCTTGTAAGATGTGAAACAGAGTAAAGGAAAGGGTGAGAAAAAGTCAAAACCCCACTACAGATTGGAATGTTTTGAGCCCCACCCAGATCAATCATCGGCCTTACCTAACGTCATTGATTTTAGTTTTCCTACTCTTATTTTTTCTTTTTCCTTTAAAGAAAACTAAATTCACTTTTTTTTAAAGATTTTTTTTTTTATTGGAAAGGCGGATATACAGAGAGGACAGACAGAGAGGAAGATCTTCCGTCCGATGATTCACTCCCCAAGTGAGCGCAACGGCCGGTGCTATGCCAATCCGAAGCCAGGAGCCTCTTCTGGGTCTCCCACGCGGGTGCAGGGTCCCAAAGCTTTGGGCCATCCTCGACTGCTTTCCCGGGCCACAGGCAGGGAGCTGGAAGGGAAGCGGGGCTGCCGGGATAGAACCGGCGCCCATATGGGATCCCGGGCGTGCAAGGCGAGGACCTTAACCACTGCGCCACCACACCAGGCCCTAAATTCACTTCTAAAACAGTTTTTATTTCTTTAAGATGTATTTTTATTAGAAAATCAGATTTACAGAAAGGAGGAGAAACAGAGAGGAAGATCTTCCATGCACTGACTCATTCTCCAAGTAGCCACAATGGTCAGAGCTAAGCCAATCTGAAGCCAGGAGCCAGGAACTTCTTCTGGGTCTCCCATGCGGGTTCAGGGTCCCAAGGCTTTGAGCCATCCTCTACTGCTTTCCAGACCACAAGCAGGGAGCTGGAAGGGAAGTGGAACAGCCGGGATATGAACCAGCACCCATATGGGATCCTGGGCATGCAAGGCAAGGACTCTAGCCATTAGGCTATTATGCCGGACCCTCTAATGTAGTTTAAAAAAAAAAAAAAGAATTATTTGAGGACCTGGCACAATAGCCTAGTGACTAAATTCCTTGCCTTGCATGTAATGAGATCCCAGTGGGCACCAATTTCAATCCCACTGGTCCTGCTTCCCATTCATTTCCCTGCTTGTGGCCTGGGAAAGCAGTCAAGGATGACCCAAAACCTTGGGGGCCTGCACCTGCGTGGGAGACTTGGAAGAAGCTCCTGGCTTTGCATCAGCTCAGCTTCAGCTGTTATGGCTACTTTAGGAGTGAATCAGCAGACCAAAGATCTTCCTGTTTCTCCTTTCCTCCCTGGATATCTGATTTTCCAATTAAAAAAAATAAATCTTTAAAAATTATTTGAGGGTGGGACTGGTACAATGGCTAATCCTCCTCTTTCAAGTGCCAGGATCCCATACAGGCTCCAGCTCCTATCCCAGCTTCTCCATTTCTGGCCCAGCTCCCTGTTTATATCCTGGGAAAGCAGCATAGGATGACCCAAGTCCTTTGGACTCTGCATCCACATGGGAGACCCAGAAAAGGCTCCTGGCTTCGGCTCAGCTCGACTCACCTCTGACCATTGCAACCATTTGAGTGAACCAGTAGATGGAAAATCTTTCTCTTCCTCTCCTTCTCTCTGTAATTCAGCCTTTCCAATTAACATAAATAAATCTTAGTCTTCTATTCAGAATCCCAATGCTTGCAGGGGTATGACTAGCCAATTGAGCCATTACACTGGGCCCATAAATAAATAAATCCAAAAAAAAAAAAAACCATATTTGAGGGGGCAGTGCTGTGGATTAGTGATTTAAGTCACCACCTTTAGTATTAGTATCCCAAAGGAGTGCCCGTTGAAGTCCCAGCTGATTCAGCTCCCTGCTAATGTGCCTAAGAAAGAACTGCAAGGGGCCCGGCACGGTGGCGCAGTGGTTAAGGTCATCGCCTTGCACGCCCGGGATCCCATATGGGCACCGGTTCTATCCCGGCAGCCCCGCTTCCCTTCCAGCTCCCTGCCTGTGGCCCGGGAAAGCAGTCGAGGACAGCCCAAAGCTTTGGGACCCTGCACCCACGTGGGAGACCCGGAAGAGGCTCCTGGCTTCGGATCGGCATAGCACCAGCCGTCGCGCTCACTTAGGGAGTGAATCATCGGACGGAAGATCTTCCTCTCTGTCTTTCCTCTCTGTATATCGGCCTTTCCAATAAAAAAATAATAAAAAAAAATCTTAAAAAAAAAAAAAAGAACTGTAAGATGGCACAAGTACTTGGGCCACTGCACCTGCTCCTGGCTTTAGCTGGATCAGCCCAGGTTGTTATGGCCATTTGTAGAATGAAACAATGAATGTAACATCTCTCTGCCTCTCCCTCTGTAACTCCTCCTTTCAAGTAAACAAATACATCTTTTTTGTCTTTTAAGTGTTTAGAGGAAGAAAGACACCCAGGGAGAGAGAAAGAACTAGGCAGAAAGAGCCCCATCTGCTAATTCATTCCCTAAATACTACAGAGATAGGTGTGATGGTGCAGCCGGTTAAGTCCTGTTCTGGGGCACCTGCATCCCATATCAGAGCGCTGGTTCAAGCCCTGCTTACTTTGTTTCTAATCCTGTTTCCTGCTAATATACTCCAGAAAGCAGCAAATGACAATTCATTTGCTTGGGGCCCTGAGATTCACATGGCAGACCCAGGTGACCCTTATAGCTTTAGCAGGCATTTGGGGAATGAAGCAGCAAATAGAAGAGTGTTCCTCTTTCTCTGTAATTCTGCCTTTCAAATAAATTTTTTTTTTAAAAAATTGATTTCCTAGAATGGTGGTTAGTTAAGTAGGAGGAATATATTATACTTTCCAACAGCACAGAGAGTGGCTATGGTTTATAACAATTTATGGGGCCAGGCCTGGTATGATGGCTCAGTAGCTAAATCCTCACTTATACATGCTGAGATGCCATATGGATACTGGTTCATGTTCCAGCTGCTCTACTTCCCGTCCAGCATCCTGCTTATGGCCTGGGAAAGCAGATGAGGATGACCCAGAGCATTGAGACCCTGCACCTGCATGCGAGACCCAGAAGTTCCTGGCTCCTGGCTTCGGATTGGCTCAGCTCAAGCCATTCAGCCACTTGGTGAGTGACCTAGGAGATGAAAGATCTTTCTCTCTGTCTCTCTTATCTTCATATCTGTAAAACTGCCTTTCCAATAAATATAAATAAACCTTTAAATAATAATAATAATTTCTGGGGGCCAGCATTATAGCATAATGGGTTTAGCTCCTTTCTGTGACAATTGCATCCCATACAGGCTCTTGTTTGAGTCCTGACTGCTGCACTTCTGATCGCATTCCCTGTTAACAGACAGAAAAGCAGCAAAAGATGCCCCAGTGCTTAGGCCCCTGCTACCCACATATCTGACAAAAGCCCTTGGTCCCTGGCTTTGGCATGGCCCAGCTCTTGTCAGATTTATCTGGGGAGTGAACCAGCAGATACAAGATCCCACTCTCAGACAAGACTGTCAGAGGCATTAAAAAAAAAAAAAAATCTCACTCTATCTCTCCCTTTAATTCTGATTTTCAAGTGAGTAATAAAATAACTTTTAAAAATACACATAAAATAAGGGGAAAAAACCCTTAGATTCAGGCTTCTGGACCTTAACCTAATAGTTTCTGATTTAGTAAGTCTGAAGTAGACCTGAAAATGTGCATCTCAAACAAGTTTAGACGATGTTCATGGCTCAAGAACCCAGATTAAGAACCAGCAGCTTAGAGAAAAGCACCTTGGTCTTAGCTCCGAAGCTAAGATAAAGATAGTTACACCTCTATATCTAGGGCAGTCTAATTTGGTAATCCCTATCTTTTATTTTGTGGGAGCAGTGTGGAGTCACAATTGCATCTCTCTTTCCGCAATGTTTATTTTCCTTTTGAAAACCTGGAGGGGCAAGGAGGGGAAAAGAAGGAAACCAGAGAAAAAGAAGGTGGGCAACTCTTTTTCTGTAAGCGAAAGCCACTGAGAGAGTGCTGGTTGGCCTGTGGAAAAACATGAAGAGTTGGACAGAGCAATGCAGGAGCTCTCTGAAACAACTCAAGGCTACAAACTCAGAACCAGCTCCAGGACTCAGCCACCAGCCCGCAATCCCAGACCTGGATCACAGACATCTTTACTATCGTAGAGCTACACAGGCTTTGGCCTCTATATAGCATCTGGGTAGCACCTAGATGATGGCCTCTTTCTGCTCAGCTTTCTCCTGTGTCCTTGTTGACTCTTTAACAGCCCACTGGCTGACCTGCTCTCACGGACAAATGTCTTTCACCAGGAGGGCTATCTGCCCCCTCAGCTGCCTTTCCCCTTCCTGGGCTTTGCTCTGGCTTCGACACCTCAGCAGCTCCGCCTTGTGGTCCAGGTGATGCATAGGGCAGTAGCTCTGTGGTTCACACAGCTCCTGAAACACAGAAGACAGCATAAGAGACTCCCTTGCACACTGCACTTTGCTTACCAAGTACAACATAACATGTCTGCCAGCAGTGGCTGAGAAGGGGCAGTAGTACACCCTGGGACTATGGGCTGATGTTGTTTCCCCTCTCCCATCCCATCCTTTACCGTATATTCTGGAAAAAAGTCCCTGTAACCCCCTTTGAGGATATACAGCTCTGGGTAATGCAATGCAGGATACTGGTTCCGAGCCCTGTCCTCTTCTCGTAGAGAGCGGCACCTTTAGAGAAAACCCAGAGATACACAGCGAGAGTGGAAGGTGTACGGTTAGGATCAGGTGAGCTGTCACTGGCAAAGGCAGAAGGACAAACTTGTTCATCCCAAAAAGGTCCTTCAGATCTCACTGTCTTTACAAAGCAGGATCCAAGCAATACTACCCTTCTTTCATTTTTTCATCAGGGACTCAATGCTAAGCCTTTTTCCTTTACTGCCCCAAACTTTCAAGTTTTAGAAATGCCATCCTTCTTCATTCCTCAGTCTTCAATCTATGGCAGACAGCACTAACTCAGTCACTCTCTCTGAACTGATTGAGAAATCCACCTTAAAATCCACTCCGACCACCAGCTCTACCCAGAGACACTTACATTCGAGGGCCCCTCTCAGAGGAGAATTCACAGTGGAACACAATGATGATTCTTTTCTGGACATCCAAAGGAACAATGGGTTTCTTCAGGAAGAAGCTATATAGCTCTTTTTGACTATATAAGTTTAAAGCACCCTGCAGAAGAAAAATTTTAAGTATTTTCTCAAAAGCCTGTGGACATTGTAAGATGCTGTCAATATTTAGAAACAGCTGATAGTGGCTGGTGCTTGTGTGTAATTGGTTAAATTGCCACCTGCGATCTAGTGCCCCAAAGGGGCATCAGTTCAAGCTCTAGAGACTCCAAAAAAGCAAAGTTTATTTTTGGTACAAGTTATTTTTAAAATCCAAGCACACGTTTGCTTTTGGGGGTGCGGGGGAGGATTTACTTATTTCTATTGCAAAGTCAGATTTACAAAGGAGAGACAGAAAGATCTTTCATCCACTGATTCATTCCCCAAGTGGCTGCAATGGCCTAAGCTGAGCCAGACAGAAATCAGGAGCCAAGAGCTTCTTCCAGGTCTCCCACACGGGTGCAGGGTCCCAAGGCTTTGGGCCGTCTTCGACTGCTTTCCCAGGCCACAACACAGGGAGCTGGATGGGAAGTAGGGCTGCCAAGATTAGAACTGGTGCCCATATAGGATTCTGGCGCGTGCAAGGGGAGGATTTTAGCCACTAGGCTACCACGCCGGGCTCTGTCCTCAAACTCTTACCCAATAAAAGTAATCCCTGGTCCCTTCCCTGCTGATATTCACAATGTAATCTCACCTTGATGTGCCCTCCCAGGTATTCATACGGATAGCGACAATCGATGATATAAAACTTCTCAATCAGACTCTGGAACTTCCCCAGCAACAAGGCTGCCACCTGCAAATAAACAGCGACCAAATACCCTGCTCAGTGTTACTCTCGAGAATGGCACTGCCAGTCCCCCAGTTCCGAACATGAACACTCCCAATAGTCTCCCAGGACTCCACCACTGATATCTGAAATGTGGCAATGGTTCAGCCCAACCACACACAGAGTGTCAACTAGAAACCAGTCTTTGTAGAAAACCAAAGGAGCTGGTATTGCTAATGTACTAAAGTAGATCATATTCTGGCTACTCATATAGAGGCAGGCATGACTGGAATCAGTCTCCCCAGGGACCAAAGGATCTCCTCCCACCAGTATAAAGAAAACAAGTCTCTCACAAAAGGATATGGAAGAGGTTGAAATCTAGAGCAGGAAACATAAGCTACTTGTAGGAGTGTAAACGGTTTCAGTCTTTCTAGAAGGAATTTCATAATATATTTTGGGTTTTTTTTTGTTCTTTAAAATTTTTTATTTTTTCATTGCAAAAGTCAGATATACAGAGAGGAGAGACAGAGAGGAAGATCTTCCGTCTGCTGATTTATTCCCCAAGCAGCCGCAACAGCCAGAGCTGAGCTGATCTGAAGCCAGGAGCCCAGAGCCTCTTATGGGGTCTTCCACACAGGTGCAGGGTCCCAAGGCTTTGGGCTGTCCTTGACTAACTTCCCAGGAAACAAGCAGGGAACTGGATGGGAAGCGGGGCTGCAGGATTAGAACCGGTACCCATATGGGATCCCAGCATTGCAAGATGAGGACTTTACCCTCTGGGCTACCACACCAGGCTGCATAAATATATTTTTTAAAGTAATTATACCCTAATTATCAAACAAATATCATATGTCTCCCTTGATTTGTAGTAGCTAACATGTAGGGTAAAAAAATATATAAAAAAGAAAAATTAAAAATAGGTAATTGCAGGCCCGGCGCGGTGGCGCAAGTGTTTAAAGGTCCTCACCTTGCACGCCCGGGATCCCATATGGGCGCCGGTTCTAATCCCGGCAGCCCCGCTTCCCTTCCAGCTCCCTGCCTGTGGCCTGGGAAAGCAGTCGAGGACGGCCCAAAGCTTTGGGAACCTGCACCTGCGTGGGAGACCCGGAAGAGGCTCCTGGCTTCGGATCGGCATAGTATCGGCCCGTTGCGCTCACTTGGGGAGTGAATCATCGGACGGAAGATCTTCCTCTCTGTCTCTCCTCTCTGTATATCCACCTTTCCAATGAAAAAATAATAAAAATAAATCTTTTAAAAAAAAATAGGTAATTGCTTGGTCCTAAAAAATGGAATTATACCTTGACTCTGCAATTTACTTTCTAACATCTTAAATAAACATAAAAGTATGTCAACACTGGGTAGGGCCACAGTTGTGTTACAATAAGCCACTGCTTGCACTGCTGGCATTTCCTATTAGAGTTCTGGCTTGACTGTCAGCTCTTCTGCTTCTCACCCAGCCTCTGCTAATATGAATGGGAAAGCAGTGGAAAATGGTCCAAGTACGAGGCCTCCTGCCAAATAACTGTAAAACCCAGAAATCCCCAGGTCTTGACTCCGGCCTAAATGACCCAGATGTTACATCTACCTGGTAAACCAGGAAATAAAAGGTCTTTCTCTCTCTCTCTTCATCTTTCTCTATTACTCTGCCCTTTAAAAACAAACAAACAAAAATCTTAAAAAAAAAATAAAGCAGTATACCCAGAGGTAGACATGATATTTATTTCAACATTGTTTTAGGTTATCAAAATATTATAAATGATTAAGTATCAATAACAAGATTGATTAAAAAATATTAGGTAAGTTTAAGGGTAAGTATGGTTAACTAAATTTAATCAATATTAACTAATTTTATATTAAATATTAATTAAAGTGTTAGTATTAAATATTCAATAAGCTTGATTAAATAAATTATACATGTCAATGAAAGACATTATATATCCACAAAAATTATAATGTAGAAACTTTTTTTATGATAAGGAGAGATATTTCCAACATCTTAGTAAGTTAATTTATTTTTAGTAAGTTAATTGTAACACAACAGCTTCACCATGATCCCATTTAAAAATTTATTTTTATTTTATTTGAGAGACAGAATAAGAGACAGAAACCTGCCATCCTCTGGTTCACTGTCCAAGTGTCTACAACAGGAGGATCTGGGTTGGGCCAGACTCAGGAGCCCAGAACTTAATCTGGGTCTTCTGTATGATTGGCAGCCAGCCAAGCAGTTGAGCCTCTGCTGCCTCCCCGGGTGTCCATTAGCAGAAAACCAGAATTAGCAGAGGCTAGGACTAAAACCTAAGCACTCCAACACAGAAGGCAAGTATCCCAAAGAATATCCTAACAACTACCCTCAAAATGATTTCCCCCATTCCAATGATCCCAGTTCTAATTTTTTTTAAGATTTATTTATTTTTATTGAAAAGGCAAATTTACAGAGAACAGGAAAAACAGAGGGGAAGATGTTCCATCTGCTAGTTCACTCACCAAATGGCTGCAGTGGACAGAGCTGAGCTGATCCTCGGTCGGAACCAGGAGCTAAGAGACTCTTATGGGTCTCCCACTTGCAGAGTCCCAAGGCTTTAGGCTGTCCTCCACAGGACGGCCACAAGCAGGTCACAAGCAGGGAGTTGGATGGGAAGTGGAGCAGCTGGGACACAAACTGATGTCTATATGGGATGCTGGCCCTTAGAAGGAAAGGATTAGCCAGTTGAGCCATTGCGCTAGGCCAATTATCCCATTTCTATAAAACGTTCACTAGAATAAAAGCTAGAAGGCTAAACGAAAGTATCATTTGTCATTATCTTAGGTATAGAGATTACAGGTAGACTGATCAAATCATTATTGTATGAATTAGCAAATATGAGAGTGAACAAGAACAATACTAATAATTATCCTCACAAATAGGTGAAAATATGGGCCCAGCACAGTAGCCTAGTAGCTAAAGTCCTCCCCTTGCAAATGCCGGGGGTCCTTTATGAGCACCAGTTCATGTCCTGGCTCCTCCACTTCCCACCCAGCTCCCTGCTTGTAGCCTGGGAAAGTATTAAAGGATGGCTCAATGCCTTGGTACCCTGCACCCGTGTGGGAGACCCAAAAGAAGTTCCTGGCTCCTGGCTTTAGATTGGCTCAGTTCCAGCCATTGTGTCCATTTGGGGAGTGCTTCGCAGACGGAAGATCATCCTCTCTGTCTCTCCTCTTTATCTGCCTTTACAATAAAAATAAATAAATAAATCTTTTGGGGAAAAAATGGTAAAAATAGGCTCACAAAATGTGAAATAAGATGTATGGTTACTCTAATTGAATGACTTTTATTTTTTTCCTTTTTGTGTTTTTGCATTTTCTGTTTTCATCTTTGTTTCCTTCTTTCTTTCCCTCTCTTCTTCCTCTCATCTTTTTTAAACAACAGATAAAATAAGAGAGACAAGAATGGTACAAGAGGGGGTCCTTCAGTACAGCTTCAGTTGAATAAAGAGCCTATATGAGTGAACAAAAAAAAAGAAACACAATTGGAAGTGGGGATTTCAGGGACAGAACAGACCAGATGGCAGCTTATGTAACAAGTTGCCATCTCCAGAAATCTGCTTACTGTTTCTGGGTTGATGTATTTCAGATCTTGGTGTCTCCCTGACACGGTTGGCAGCACACATACCTAGAAATACAAAGGAGCGGAAATAACAGAAAGTACTGCACACCCAAGTTTGGGGTCAAAGACCCTCTATAATGTTCTGTTAAGACTGTTCAAAAGACTGTTAAGAAGACAGGAACCTTACAAACCAACTGTCTTTATAATGTGCTCAAACAGCAATTCCATTTCTAAGAACTAAATCTAAGGAGCTGATCGAGGATGTGCAAAAAGTTTCCGATTTCTCTACAAACATGTCCATCTTGGTTTCATTCATACGGAAAAGTTACAAAACTAAATAGTCTATAAGAAAACATTTTAAAAGAGATTATGACTAGCCCCAAAAGCAATAATATGAAATAATTTAACATAATGAAGTGATGCAGAACTATTTTTTATATGAAAAGATCCACCTGATATAATATTAAGTGGGGACAGGCAGGTAGCCCAACAGATCATAAAACATTATAAACTATTTTTCCAGAAAAACAAAACAAAAAAAGCATTTCTGGGTGTGCTTGTGTTTCTTCAAAATATATATAGAAAAAACTGTGAATATACACCAAGCAATAATTCCCCTGGTTGATAAGGTTTGGGGTAAATCTCTTCATTTGCTGTCTTTTTTGTGATGACCAATATTATTAATATAACTTTAAAAGATATTTTTAAAAATCAAAAAAGCTCCCACTGGTTTGCATGAGGGCCAAGTGTGTGGTGGGCAGGATCAGGCCACACTCCTACACCTAATGATTGCTGTAGAAGACAGGGCTGGAAACAGAACTGACCCAGCAATAGCAACCACCAGCATGTGCATAAGCTGACTTGGGTGACAGACTGTGCCAGACCCTGTACTGGCATGCACACACAAGATGACCTCAGACGAAGTTTCTTTGGGGATCCCTCCAACTGAACTGCTGATCTCAGAACCCCAACCATGAAGAGAGGTGCAGGTTCCATGGTCTGATCATGGAATGTATATGTCAAAGCTGAGCCTGCTCAGAGGCTCTGACTGAGCAGTGGACAGCATATCCAGGTGCACATGAAGGATATGACAGTCCATCAGAACCTGCAGAGGACACCTAGTAGTACCACAACAGAGGACAGAAAAAATCTATCATCTACCCCATCCATGGGTTGGCAATGAAAATCTGGGTAAATGGAGACTCTAAGGTGGACTATGTCAGCCAGTGGATTCTGGAGAGATTTCATTGTGTTCGGAGTGGCAAGATCAGCAGCAATTCAGAACTGATGAACTCTCAAAACCACCTAAGCAGTACCCTCAGAGCACGCCCAACATTTGCGGACCCTAGGATGGTTGGGAGGCTGGGTGGGGCTTCTCCATTTATCTCCCCTCTTACCCCAGATACAGAAAAAGAAAAAAAGCAGAGAGAATGTAGAAACAATGGTCTTATCCACTTTCCTGTAGCCCTTGACCCTTTGTGCCCTAGTCAACTATGTAAAGATTATCAAAATAAAATAATAATTTAAAAACTAACAAAATAAAATTTAAAAGGTAAAAAGTTTCACACTTTCTCAACTGTTCCACATTTTCTCAGAAGGAAAATTTTCTTACTAGAAAGATTTAGGGCTTAGATCTATGCCCAGAGCAGCTCACATTCTCAAAGGGTGCTTGGTGAGACACCTAATTATATCTAGTATCTCTACAAAGAGAGGATAAAAGGCTCAAAAACAAAATTACTGAATTCAGACTCACCTTGGAAAAATCACCAGTCAGTTGCCCCTGGTTGGACACTTCCTCCAGCATGCAAGTGATATTAATGTCACAGAGGGAGACTGTCTTCTTTGAGCCTGCACCCTGAAGATGACAAGATTCCCACTCACGCCCAGTCCTCAAGTTAAAGGTTTAGAGAAAATAAAGACAAGCACAAGGACATGGCAATAATGATGGATATTCCAGCAAGTTCAGAGAAGGTATCATTAGGAAAAAATATTACAGGGTCTTGGTTAAACAAATCACTTTCCATGCATTATAGATTGTCATGATACAATACAAAGTAGAATGTTGGGGCCCAGTGGCATGGCCTAGTGGCTAAAGTCCTCGCTGTGAATGAGCCAGGATCCCATATGGGCACCGGTTCTAATCCCGGCAGCTCCACTTCCCTTCCAGCTCCCTGCTTCTGGCCTGGGAAAGCAATCGAGGATGGCCCAAAGCTTTGGGACCCTGCACCCGCATGGGAGACCCAGAAGAGGTTCCTGGTTCCCAGCTCCAGATTGGCGCAGCACTGGTCGTTGCACTCACTTCGGGAGTGAATCATCAGACGGAAGATTTTCCTCTCTGTCCTCCTCTCTGTATATCTGACTTTGTATGACTTTATAATAAAAATAAATAAATCTTAAAAAAAAAAGTACAATGTTGGCTAATTTTGTTGACAGGGAAATAAGGTCATGATATCATTAAGTGTGTTAGGAGTCATGTACTCTGTAATCACACTTTAACACAAGACAACTAGGGGCCCGGCAGCGTGGCCTAGCAGCTAAAGTCCTCGCCTTGAATGCACCAGGATCCCATATGGGCGCTGGTTCTATTCCTGGCAGCTCCGCTTCCCATCCAGCTCCCTGCTTGTGGTCTGGGAAAGCAGTCGAGGATAGCCCAAAGCCTTGGGATCCTGTACCCGCACAGGAGACCTGGAAAGAAGTTTCTGGCTGCTGGCTTCAGATTGGCTCAGCTCCAGCTGTTGTGGCTGCTTGGAGAATGAACCACTGGATGAAAGATCTTCCTCTCTGTCTCTTCTCCTCTCTGTCTCTCCTCTTCTCTGTATATCTGACTTTCCAATAAATAAATAAATCTTTATTTAAAAAAAAGACAAATGAATTTTTATATATTTGTATATGAAAAATGCCTGGAAGAACATAGATCAAGTGCTAATAGTGGTTTATTCCTGATATATGGGATTATAAATATTTTACATTGGCTGCTTCTTTGTTAATTTTCCATCTTTTATTTTCCTATAATATCGCATACCTGTTTTAATATCTAGCGATAGTTAGATTTTTTAAGAAGCGGAATGAGGGCTAAGTCCTGCAGAAGTGGCCATCTACCACACCCGTCTGTTCTGTGACGCCGTTTCTGCAGGTGTGCAAAAGCAGCAGGGAGACTCTCCCCGTTCCGTTCCCTTGTACTTTCTCGGGTTTCACAAAAGAAGGTCGGGAAGACAGTATGATGCCATCACTTCTCAAACTATACTACAAAACACACATTTACTGTGAAATGTTCTATACACGAGCAGAGACAAAGAAGAGACAAAAAGAGGCAAAGAACAAAGGAAAAAGATGAAAAAGGAATCCCCAGAATAGAATAGCACCAAGGACAATGAGATAGAAAAGTTAACAGGTTCTTATCTTTAAAAAAAAGTCTTACCTTCCTAAACATTTCAGGGCCAGAACAATACTTTTTGTGTGTTCGATCTGGTATCACGTTGTCCTTAGATTTTACCTGCTTCACTCTTGGCCTATTCAAACCCTCTGGCATTGAGGGTGAGCGATACAGGCAGCTTCTATTCAGGAATGCCTGTTTGGGATTATGAAATGAGAAGCCTTTTAAAATAACTTGGATGAGAAATTATTAAATAACATGGGTATGGCATTTTGCTGATGGTAGTTTCGGTGACTGGAAGAGAAAAGCGTAACTCAATCTTCTTAAAAAGTAATTACTAACAGAGAAGAAAAATCACAAGTTAAATATAACGCAAAAAAAAAAAAAAAGGAAACATTAGAATGCCATAGCATGATGACCATTATAAGATTGATACTATGGAACTCAGCAGAAAAAAACCTGGATGGATCAAATACTATGAAGAAGCAGCTTTGAGAGTTATTGACACAGAAATAAGACCAAAGTATTGAGAACAGATTATTGCTTCTCTGAAAGGCATGACTTGGGCATTATATTATACGCAGAGGCAGGGAGGATTAAGTGACCACTGATAACTATCAACTAATCCAAGACTCTATCCTCTGTCCTAAGATACCATGAGGCTTCTACCTCTGGCCTAGATAACAGGCAAGAGCTTCTTCTCTCTCTCCACACTCACCTCACTAGAGTCACAGATTGGTTTAGAAGGCAGCTAGGCAATGAGGGAACCATAACTGGAAGACAGGTTAACAAAAGACAGTAAGAACATCCATATTTTACTTTATACCAACTCTGACTATCACGATGTTTATCATACGAACAGTTCTAAGGAAACTCCGTTGCTCATGGTGCCAATGAACTGTGCAGCACATACTTTACATACTGTATTTTGCATCTACTATATCTACCTTCTCCCTCGGACCCCCACCCAACTGCCACAATGCCCATATGTTTCTGTCTACCCTACCTCCATCCACTGATAACTTGCCTATACTGTATAACGAACACATCTATTGTGTGGTGTAGAATAAGAAAAAAACAATCTGGACCAATCAGGTTTCCTTTCCTGGTAATTAGACATGAAAAAAAGGAGAAATAATTAAGCTCAAGCAAGCAAACAACCCAAGAGACAGTCAGAACTTGATCCCAAGTACTTTGATCCTAAGCACTGGATTAACCTGATGCACCACAATGCCAGTAAAATATGCTTAATTTTTTAAATTTTTTTTTTTTTTTTTTTTTGGAAAAGAAGCTTTTGTAAGCAGAAGGAGAAACACAGAGAAATCTTCCATCCTCTGGATCCACTCCCTAAAAGGTTACAACAACTGCTGTTTGGCCAGTCAGAAGCCAGGAGCCTAGAGCTTTTTCTTGGTTTCCCTTGTGGGTGCAAGGGCCCAAGGAATTGAGCCATCCTTTGCTGCCTTTGGACCATCCTTGACTGCTTTCCCAGGACACTAGCAGGAAGCAGGATGGGAAGCAGGGATGCGGGATTAGAACTGGCACCTATATGGGATCCTGGCAGAATCAAGATATTTAATTTAAAAAAAAAAAGGCTAATTTAATTTGAAGATCAGAGTTATAAAGAGAGAGGAAGAGATAGAGATATCCAATCCACTGATTCACACTCCCAATGCCTGCAAGGCCAGGGTTGGGCCAGGATGAAGTCAGGAGCTTCTTGCTTGTCTCCCACGTGGTCCAAGCATCTGAGCCATTCTCCACTGCACCCATGTGGGAGACCTGGAGGAAGTTCCTGGATCCTGGCTTCAGATCCACATAACACCAGTTCTTGAGCTCACTTGAGGAATGAATCATTGGATGGAAGATCTTCCTCTCTGTCTCTCCTCCTCTCTGTATATCTGACTTTGTAATAAAAATAAATCTTAAAAAAAAAAAAGAAGGAATTTTAATACAAAAACGCCATCAGAAAACACCTACCTTGCTCTCTTCTTGATCCTCCAGGAAAAATCCCATCAATTCACTTGAAATCTCTCTTGCTCGATCTTGTACCATGTCTGGGCTTTTATCCAATTTTGAAAATATAGTAATGGGACTACCCAAGTAATTCACCTCGTTTTCTATCAAGTTTCCATTGTCCTGTTAAGCATATAAACAGCATTGCACCTAATTTAGAATCCTTGGCTTACACGGTGTACAAAAATTAACTCAAGATATTTCAGAGAATTAAATTTAACCCAAACTATAAAACTCTTAGAAGAAAATATAGGTGGAAAAATTTAATGACACTGAATTTGGCAATTCCTTGGATTTGACACCAAAATATAATAAACAACAAAGATGTAAGTTAGTGTCCATCGAAATGAAACTTGTGTCCAAGGACACTGTGAGAGCTGGCATTGTTGACAGCAAGTTAAGCTGCAATCTGCAATACCAGCATCCCATATGCATACCAGTTTAAGTGCGGGCTATTTCACCTGTGATGCAGCTCCCTGCAAATGTACTGGGAAAGCAGCAGAAAACAGTGCAAACGATTGGGTCCCTGAAATCTATGTGAAAGAATGGGATGGAGTTCCAGCTACTGGTTTCAGCCTAGCCATGTCATTACTACCATTTGGGGAATAAACTGGTAAATGTAAGATTTCTCTTCTCTGTTCTCTTTCTCTCTCTAAATCTGCCTTTCAAAGAATTAAATCATAAGAATGTGAGTACCATAAAGTTATTTTTTAATCAAATTTTAAAAAGTGTCAAAAAAATTTTTTAAAAGTGAAAAGGCAACCTAGAAAATGTTAAGAAAATAATTTGCAAATAATACATCCAACAAGGGATTCATATCAGAATATGTAAGATCATCCCATATTTGAAAGTTAACAAAAAATACTCTAAATAGTACGCTATCAATAGACATTTCTCTAAAGAAGATACACAATGGCCAAGAAAATACATCACAAATGGCTATTGCACATATTGATTCTGTTTCAAATCCTGGTTGCCCCACTTCTGAACCAGCTTGTTAGTGGCCTGGGAAAACAGCAGAGGATATTCCAAGGCTAGACCCTTGCACAAATGTGGGAGAGTCAGAAGAATCTTCTGGTTCCCAGCTTCAGATTGGCCCACCTCTGGCTGTAGCAGACATCTATACAGCAAACCAGTGAATGGAAAACTGTTGCAAAAATCTGACATTAGGGCTCAGCGCAATAGCGTAATGGCTAAAGCCCTCACCTTGAACATACTGGGATCCCATATGGGCGCCAGTTCTAATCCCAGCAGCCCCGCTTCCCAACCAGCTTCCTGCTTGTGACCTGGGAAAGCAGTCGACGATAGTCCAAAGCCTTGGGACCCTGAACCTGCGTGGGAGACCTGGAAGAGGCTCCTGGCTTCAGAATGGCTCAACTCCAGCTGTTGCGGCCACTTGGGGAGTGAACCACCAGACTGAAGCTCTTGATCTCTGTATATCTGCCTTTCTAATTAAAAATAAATAAATAAATCTTTCAAGAAAAGAAAAAAAAAGAAAGAAACCCAAGGACTTGGGCCATTCTCTTAAAAAAAAAAAACTGATATTAAAAAAAAATAAATAGGGCCCAGCTGCATGACACAGTGGCTAAAGTCCTCACCTTGCATGTACTAAGGTCCCATCTGGATCCCAGTTCATATTCTAGTGCTCCTGCTTCCAATCCAGCTCCCTGCTTGTGGCCTGGGAAAGCAGTGGAGGATGGCCCAAAGCTTTGGGACCTGCACCCATGTGGGAGACTTGGAGGGGGCTGTTGGCTCCTGGCTCTGGATCAGCTCAGCTCTAGCCATTGCCAGAGTAAATCAATGGACAAAATATCTTTTTCTCTGTCTCTCCTCCTTACTGTGTATCAGAATTTCCAATAAAAATAAATAAAGCATTAAAAAAAAAAAAACCGCAAGCATGATTCGGGAAGGAGCGTGCCTGGAGAGGGGATGGTACGATTCTAAAAGAGTGATTAGGAAGGGAGATTAGAAAGACAGTATAAAATCAAGAAAAAAAACTGACTAGAACTGCTAAAAACATAAGCACATTTCAGTTAATGGAAACAAAGCATCTATCTTTTATGCATACTGACCTGGGGAAGGCAAGGGAAGAGAAGCAGGGAAGGAAGAAAGCTGGCTAGAAAAGGGGATTCCCTGAAGGGATTAGGGAATGATCTTCATGAGGTTTCAACTTGGAACTGAAGGGTATCCTAAGGCTTAAATGGGAAGGTAATGGCTTCCTCAGAACGGAGGTTCACAAGCTAGACTAAGGGGAAACAAGAAGAAATTCAAAAATTTACATTCGTATGTAAAAGCACAGTTTCTGAACAAGTTACATAACTTGCCCTATCTGTTATAAAGGAAAGAAAAACAATTCTTGCCACTACAATAACAGCCATTTTTGTTCTCAGAGCAACCAACTAAATATGAATAATCATGATGACTTGCTATGGAGTACTTCACTTAGTTTTCTGTTCTAGGGTCAAATCTCAAAGAGAATTCTTTTCTCCAGTGAGTCAGCTTGCTTCTCCAGCACACAAACTGTCATCCCACAATGATACCAACAAGTTGCTTCACTCAAAGAAGAAAAGCTGCTAACACATTTAGATTTCCATTCAACACTCACATTTTCTTTCTTCCTGAGTGACGTACACTCATGGTCCAAAGCATTCGGAGTGCTACACAAAAGCTGCACGCGAAAGAGATTGCTTGTTGAGAACATTCAACATGCCCAAGCCTCCCACCCGAGAAACAAACTCAAACCCCAAGTGCAGGGTTACTCACTGGGCTGCACTTCATAGGGCTCTGGTGACGACTCCTACAAATGAAAACAAACTACCAAAGTAAGCCCAAATACTATGCAGTGCTTCCACATCAGGGTGGGACAGCCTATCTTTTCTTTCTTCCATTCTAGAAGTCTTAGTCCTTCTTGATATCCCAAGTTGATTAAAAAATGCATTAGGAATTTTCTATGGTAAACATTATGACTCCAGTTTATCTTGGGCATATGCCCTCATGTCACTTATGTAAATATAGAGAGGCAGGCTTATCTTGTATCTTCTGTGGAACTGATACACCATTTACTGATTCTGTAGCATTGAATACTATGGGCTAATTTTTCCTTGAATGAATTTCTATCCATCCAGGATTCCATCTGGTCTAAAATCGTAACACTAATTAAAGCCATTCAAAGAAAATATATGTAAGACAAATGAAATTTTCATACATATTGATTAAAAATTCATGGAAATTGTGATTTACATTAAAATAATTCTTTAAAAACAAAACCTGAAAAACCTATTACCTCGTTATTGTACATAATAAAATTGCTTTTGTAATCCTTAACTTTAAAAAAACAGTCATGGGGCCCAGCATGGTAGCCTAGCGGCTAAAGTCCTCAACTTGCATGTGAAAAGAAACCATATGGGCGCCAGTTCTAACCCCAGAGGCCCTGCTTCCCATCCAGCTCCCTGCTTGTGGCTTGGGAAAGCAGTCAAGGACAGCCCAAAGCCTTGGTACACCCCCCCCAACCACTTGGGAGATAAGGAAAAGTTCCTGGCTCCTGGCTTCAGATTGGCTCAGCTCCCGCCATTGCGGCCGCTTGGGGAGTGAACCATCGGACAGAAGAAGATCTTCCTCTCTGTCTGTCCTCCTCTGTGTACATCTGCCTTTGCAATAAAAATAAAAAATAATTTAGTCATTTGATGGGCAGAAAATAAGTACAGGGAGAAAGTAAGTACTCCCATGTGCTGACTTATTCTGCAGAAGTTCATGGTGAAGTGAGGCTCTCGCGTAGGTGCTAAGAACCCAAGCACCCGAGGTACTACCGTTGCCTCCCAGATTTTGAAGCAGCTGGAATCAAAAGTCAGAACCAGGAATATAACCCAGATACTCAAACGCGAGATATGCAAGTCCTAACTGGTGTCTTTACTTCTAAGCCAAATGTCCACCACCATATTTCCATTTTTTTAAGATTTTATTTTATTTTTATTTAAAAAAAGATATATAAAGAGAGGAGGAGAGACAGGAAGACCTGTCCAATGATTCACGCACCACACGACCGCAACGGCTAGAGCTGAGCCGATTCAAAGACAGGAACCAAGAGCTTCTTCCAGGTCTCCTGTGTGGGTGCAGGGTCGCAAGGCTTTGGGCCATCCTTGACTGCCTTCCCAGGCCACAAACAGGAAGCTGAATGGGAAGTGGCACGTCTTGGATTAAGTATAGCGCCCATATGGCTTCTTGGTACATGCCAGTTGAGGATTTTAACCACTACGCTACTGTGGTGGGCCCCCTATTACCATACTTCTAATCACTAGGATAAAGCATCTTTCATATTTAAATAAAAGCCTGCAGGGAAGTACAGTATAACATTTTCTAAAAATAGGGCCCAGCGCAGTGGCCTAGTGGCTAAAGTCCTCGCCTTGAACGCGCTGGGACCCCATATGGGTGCCGGTTCTAATCCCAGAAGCTCCACTTCCCATCCAGCTCCCTGATTGTGGCCTGGGAAAGCAATCGAAGATGGCCCAATGCTTTGGGACCCTGAACCCTGTGGGAAAGCTGGAAGAAGTTCCTGGCTCCTGGCTCTGGATCAGCGCAGCCACGGCCGTTGCCATCACTTGGGGAGTGAATCATCAGACGGAAGATCTTCCTCTCTATCTCTCCTCCTCTCTGTACATCTGACTTTGTAATAAAAATAAATATATCTTTAAAAAAAACATTTTCTAAAAATAATTTTGATTATGCTTTATGTGTAAAAGAGATAGCTTTTATTTTCACAACACTCCTTGGATCTTGGAAAACCAAAATACGACCAAGGAAGCAATCTAGATCCTGGAGCCCCTTATAACCAAAATTTTGTACCTCCAGTTTCCAGAGATTAAAATTCCTGCGACCAGAGCTGAATGGCATTCACATGAAGTTCATTTAGCAAAAAGGTACTTACATCCCACTAAACTGCATTTCCTGAGGTTCTGAAGAATCCATGTGACCTACAACAAGACATGAATAATCAGTAAGATGCATTATTTTTATACATGCATCATTGTTTTTAACTTCAGATTTTGTCCGTCACCAGTAAGTTACATTAATTTCAAAGACTCAACTTTTGAGCATAAAACCTACTGACTGGTAAAAGATACCAGGGTACAAAACACAATTTCATGGAAGATTAAGGATTTATATGCATCTCTCAAAAATTTTTTTCTAGGAGACACTGTTCTATGTTAACATATAGAGATTTTGGGCCCGGCGCGGTGGCGCAGTGGTTAAGGTCCTCGCCTAGCACGCCTGGGATCCCATATGGGCGCCGGTTCTAATCCCGGCAGCCCCGCTTCCCTTCCAGCTCCCTGCCTGTGGCCTGGGAAAGCAGCAGAGGATGGCCCAAAGCTTTGGGAACCTGCACCCGCGTGGGAGACCCAGAAGAGGCTCCTGGCTTCGGATTGGCATAGTATCGGCCGTTGCGCTCACTTGGGGAGTGAATCATCGGACGGAAGATCTTCCTCTCTGTCTCTCCTCTTTGTATATCCGCCTTTCCAATAAAAAAATAATAAAAATAAATCTTTAAAAAAAAAACATATAGAGATTTTTTTTTCATGAGCAAAAATGAAAACTTATTATTCAGGAAATTTGAAATTGGAAGAAATATTAGCATCATTGATTAATGAACCATTCCTTTTGCACACAGACTTACAAACATGCATAAAAACTAATTTTAAAGTATTTGTGTTGGTTTCTTTGTCTCAGGTGGGATTACACCAGGGCACAAAACTACTCAGATCATATTAATCTTCATTCCCACTATTAATCAGTCAACAAAACCTAGTCACCTTTGTCTAACTTTCAAATGCAAAGTGACTGTTACTATTGTTATTATCTTTCCCATTGTGCTCCTAATTCTTATTAAAAACGCTCTAGTTATCCATCAAATTCAACTCTCCAGGTAAGCTCTTTAACCTACTTCTTTTAAATTTATCCAAGCACCTGGTTTTCTCCCTTAGAAGTCATTCATCCCTTTGAGCTCTTCACCTTCTTTCTCCCGACCAGTTTCATCAAGGTCCGCAGCAGCGGCAAGCTGAGCGCCAAACACCTCCGCACCGCTAAGATTCGAAAGATCCAGGCAACGTTTGGGGGTATCTCTGTTGAGACACAATAATACAACAAGATTACTATTGAATAGTTTCAATCCTTAAATGGCTAAGATTATTTGATTATCTTCATTTGAAACATCTTTAAAGTCTGTAACAAGCTGAACAGCATCCAAAAATAAGTAAATCCAACTGCTTCCTATTAAGTATTTCAGACTGGACTGACAAAAATCTCCCACATTTCTTGACTCCAAAATAAGACTACATTTTCTCTTCATCAACATAATGAGACAGTATTGCTATTTTTTTTTTCAAGGGAGCTCCAAGTTTTTGTTTTTCACAAAGGAACTCTTGATCGCCCCTCTTCTGTGTTGTGCATCAAGAACACACAGATTTGATTTCTTCTTGGAAGAAATCTGGTGGCCAACGTATCAGCACATGGTACGAACACAACTTAAAGCACAAGAACACCACCTCAACATTACTATGAATCAACTGACCAGCTCACATAATGTGGCAGTGTTCCAAGATATCATATCATTTGACTCTCGCAAGATTCTAGTGAGACACGAAAAATTATTTCTATGCGATGGAAGTCTGAGATTCAAAAGAGCCACACAGCCAAGGGCAGAGCCGAACGGAGATTTCAATTTTCATCTTTCAGACATGATCCTTTAAACTATCCCCTCCACACACACACAACTGTCCAGAAAAGTAAAAGAGATAGCTGCCAAAACACAAGTGGATTTACCCAGACAAAATGCTGAGATTTGCAGATTCACCGAGCAGCTTGTCCACCGGAGTTCTAGGGAGCTCTGGACAGATGGTAAAGGAACTGTCTCTCTCCAGCAGCAGGTGCAGCATCTTCCTCTGGTTGCATCTAAAACTGGGTCCTGAGCCACAGCTTCCCTCCTCTCTCGTGGATGAAGAGATATCTGCAGACATGGTCTCTTGAGTTCTCAGCAGAAAAAAACGCAAAATCTAAAGAAAAGATGAGACCATCGACAGAACCGCTCCACGCTTTCCAGTCCAGGAGATCAGTACTGCAGCGGGGCGGGGAGCGGCCCCAAAGAGCGAATGACAACCTCGCTTGGGGGACGTGGTACCCATAGGAGGTGACTATGTGGAAATAAAAGCAGACTGCGACCTGTCCAGGCCCTCGACAACCCTACCAAGTCGTGGCAACGCCCAGAGCCCTCTGAGGTAAAGTCGGCAGGACCCCGGCGGGAGCCTAAGGAAACAACCAGGGGAAAATAAGCAGGCTTACCTCAAGTCCCGCGTGTGAGAAGACTCCAGCCAAACGAAAGGAAACCTACTGACAGGAGGCAGTTCACTAGCGGCCAGGTCAGCCTGCTGACTGGGTAGTTCAGAGTCGAGAAGCACCGCGCCTCAGGTCTGAAGAGCCACACCACACCTTCCTGACAAACACACCAACAGCCGCCGTCTCGACCATTCGAACCTTCCGCCCTCCCAATAACCTATGGTCGCAGGGCTCTCCGATGCATCAGCCAATCCCCGCGCGCCCGCCCAAGTCCTGGCAGCCAATCGTTTAGCTCGTACTTCACCCGGACGGGGGCGTGGACAAGCTACGGAAGTGGGGTATAATTTGCTCCACCCCCGAAGCCAGAACCGGCCGGCAATTGGCTCACTAGCGTCGGGCGGGGTGGAGAGTAAGCTCCGCCTCCCAGGGAGCCTGACATACGGCTGACTGACTCCTTTTCCATGCTTGGCCCTGGTCCGGTTCCACCAAGCCAGGGAGATTTAAATGGCTCCTCATTAGGGACTGCCATTCGCCAGCATGGTATAAGCGATGAGGAGGGCTACAACGATTTTTAAGCATTTATGTGTTCCTGGGTTTTCTCGCGTCGATATGAGACCTTTCCTTCTGAAGACAAATCCCTTGCCACCAGGGAGGCAGGTGGATAGCTCAGCAGGTGTGAGGTGTGCGTTTATGCTGAGTGGTATGGGGTCCTAGTTCGCTGTACCTTTTACAACGCAGCAGCTCAGAGACGCTAGATAATGTGTGTTCAATATACGCATGTGTGTGTGTGTGTGTGTGTGTATTCCTTTTCAGGGGAAGTAAGAAAGTTCAATCATCTAGACATATCCTTATCACAGTGCAAAAGATTTGTACGCTTTAGACCTGCACATTGGCTAGGTAATACAGAAATGCTTACTAATGGGAGATGTTTCTAAACGGTTAAGTAAGGTTGTCAATGGTAACAGATGACATGACATCAGTCATGGCTATTAGAAACTGTGACCATTGTACCCGTGCTCCATCAAGCTAAGTGTTAAAGTACATATTTATTTATTTATTTATCTTTATTGGAAAGTGAGATATATACAGAGAGGAAAAGAGACAGAGAGGAATATCTTCTGTCTGTTGATTCACTCCCCAAGCAGCTACAAGGGCTGGAGCTGCACCAATTCAAAGCCAGGAAGGAACCCAGAGCCTCTTACGGGTCTCCCACATGGGTGCAGGATCCCAAGGATTTGGGACGTCTTCGACTGCTTTCCAAGGCTACAAGCAGAGAGCTGGATGAGAAGTGGGGCTGTCAGGACTAGAACTGGCGCTCATATGGGGTCCTGGCACGTGCAAGGTGAGGACTTTAGCCACTAAGCTACCTCACTGGGTCCCTATAATTCTTTTTAAATGCTTACAATAACCTTGACAGGAAGGAAAGGCCTCCTCCTTTTCCCCACAGCACACACATGAGAAAAAAAAAAAACTGAAACATTTGTCCCACCCAACTTCCAACACACCTTGACCATCCTCACCCTAATTGAAGCCCCACATAGGCATGCATTCCTCTCAACTATGTATGTAAACAGTGTTAAAGATAAAATTTTAAAATGTTCTTACAAAGGTAAAAAAGAGAGATCTAGTGTGGGGATGAGGTTTTATGAAAAGCCCCTTCCTTGGGGTGCTATCCAGACAGATGGCTTTAAGAAATAAAGGTCAGAAATGCATTATCTTTGAGAAACATTCAGAAATAGAGCCTTTATCGGATGTCAGGGTCTTGGTGGTAGTACTGGCGAAGAAGTGCAGAGTAATCAGGCAGTTTTTATCTTGACCTTTTCATCTATGCAGACTGCTTCCCCAGAAAAGGGAGGAGCTGGGTGAACAGGTAGCAACTGTGGGGTCAACACAAGGCCTTCTTTTCCAAGTGAGATGGAAAATCAGGCAGGAATTAAGTGTATTGATTTCTGCTACAGTGACTATAATCAGACCTTGTGGGACACTGGAATTTTGCTGTAGGTGGAGAAGTAGAGACAAAGTCATCCTGCAGCAGCAGCAGCCATAGCGAGACACACGATGGCAGGTGCATATCTGGTTATCAGTGCTTCGTGCAGGGGATCCCCAAGTGAGTGCAATTGTAGATGATCACAACAAAGGTGTCAACCAGAGGCTTTGTTTCGATGTCACGTGGCAAGACAACTACAGACTGAGAACCCTGGCAAAACTGTGACTTTTTATGCCATCAAGTCTTAATAAGTTCCCAAGATTTTCATAAGTGGAGAATGTCATATTTGGCCCAGAAGACTTCAAAGCTTTATCCATTAAAAAAGAAAAGAAAAAGCAAAGGTGTATCCATCTCGCCAGTATCTGCTTCTGGCTGATTTGGCAAACTGCAACACATATTGACAAATTCATATAAACACATGCATACATAAAAACTAAACAAACAAGGGCCCAGTGTGGTGGCCTAATGGCCTTGCATGTGACGGGATCCCATATGGATACTAGTTTGTGTCCCAGCTACTCCACTTCCAGTCCAGCTCCCTAACTGTGGCCTAGAAAAGCAGTAGAAGCAGGAACTTCCTCCAGGTCTCCCACATGGGTGCAGGGTCCCAAGGCTTTGGGCTGTCCTCGACTGCTTTCCCAAACCACAAGCAGGGAGCTGGATGGGAAGTAGAGCTACCAGGATTAGAACCAGCGCCCATATGGGATCGTGGCACGTTCAAAGTGAGGACATTTTAGCTGCTAGGCCACAGCGCTGGGCCTAGAAGGTCTTAGAAAAAAAAAAAGAGAGAGAGAGGTACAGTCCTTGCTCCTTGGATATCCAAATCAGGAAACGGAGATGAGACCATACCTGGTAAACATCCTCCCACCTCCTACAACTGCCAGCCAGTATATACAGGACAAGGGTTCAGTGGTATGTTCACTATTTCTGGTTCATTGGTTGGGTGAGGGGGTACAGGGGCTGAGCTGTACCTCTGTGGATTTCGGAGAGGTTTTCACTTTTCCTAAGTGAAAAGTTAAGATCAGCCTGAGTGCACACACCTCTGATTCTACCTTCCTAGGCAGGGATTGGAGAGGCAGTGGAGCCTGCCCGTTTGGATGACCTGGAGGACTGGCTGCAGGCCTGGATCCCTCACTAAATTTGGATGGAGACCACGGGGTGCCCAGGTAGCACCCTCTGCTGGAGCAAGATCGCAGATACTCTGCTCCTGAGGACACAGTTAAAACTGGATACAAAGTAGTAGCCTGAGGACACCAGTTTTTTGTGTTGTTTTAAGATTTATTTCTTTTTATTGCAAAGTCAGATATACAGTAATGAGGAGAGAGAGAGAGGAAGATCTTCTGTCTGATGATTCACTCCCCAAGTGACCACAATGGCCAGAGCTGAGTTGATCCAGCTTCCTCCAGGTCTCCCACACAGGTGCAGAGTTCGAAGGCTTTGGAGCATCCTCCATTGCTTCCCCAGGCCACAAGCAGGGAGCTGGATGGGAAGCGGGGCTGTTAGGATTCAAACCGGCGGCCATATGGGATCACCGGCACATTCACGGCAAGAACTTTAGCCATTAGGCCACTGTGCCAGGCCCCAGGGTACCAGTTTTAAAAAAATAATGTTGGGCCTAGATTGATGATTCTGTGGCTAAAAGACTTTAGCCACTAGGCTACCATGCTGGGCCCTTCTTTTCCTTGTTTTAAACATCTTAGTGTCTTTCAATGTCTTGCAAATGAACCAATGCCACTCTGACTCAACCATTTCACTTTAATAAGCAAGGTTAACACTAAAAAGGGGAACAGCCCGGTGGTGAAGGGCCAGGGCTCGAGAGTCGTGGAGCTTCTCGAGACTCATCTGTGCAGAGGCAGTCCCTCGACTTCTCCAGCTCTCTCAGCTGTGAAATGTGGAGGTTTGGGGCTTTTTTCTTGGTGAATGTAAATGAACAGAATACTTACTTAGAGGATGTCTTGTGGTATCTGGCATGTCATGTCTGCACTGACAAAACGTCTCTGCTACACCTCACAGCCTCTGCCTTTGCTCCCCGTCATTTGCTAACAGGAACTGTGAAGTGCAAGGAAAATCTCTCCATCCCCAAATTCCCCATAAACATCGCACTTTTCCTTTATTCTTCCTTTTCGGTTTGTTGGCTTCTGCTCCTTTCCTTTCCTAACTCCATAAAGAAGATTCCTCTTCCCTGACTTTGCTTTCTTGCTGATCAAAGCTTTTTCCGGCTTGAGTCAGGCACAAAATTCCATGTAAAATATAGATCTTTCAGGGAGAATGCTGCTAAGTGAAATAAGGAACATGAGCTGGTGCTGGCATGGTGGCATGATGGGCTAATCCTCTGCTGGCAGTACTAGCAGCCTATCCAGTCACTGGTTCTAGTTCCAACTGCTCTACTTCCTTTTCCTTTCCTTTTTTTTTTTAAATATTGATTTATTTTTATTACAAAGTCAGATGTACAGAGAGGAGGAGAGACAGAGAGAAAGATCTTGCATCCGATGATTCACTCCCCAAGTGAGCTCAACGGCCGGTGCTGTGCCTACCCGAAGCCAGGAGCCAGAAACTTCTCCCGGGTCTCCCACATGGGTGCAGGGTCCCAAGGCTTTGGGCCGTCCTCGACTGCTTTCCCAAGCCACAAGCAGGGAGCTGTATGGGAAGTGGAGCTGCCAGGACTAGAACTGGCGCCCATATGGGATCGTGGCACATTCAAGGTGAGGACTTTAGCTGCTAGGCCACGCCACTGGGCCCCGACTGTTCTACTTCCAATCTGGGTCCCTGCGATGGCCTAGGAAAGCAGCATTCTGTTAACGCCCTGGAAAACCCATGAAGAATTGCTCAAGACCCCAGAACCCTGAAACCTAGTAGGAAATACAGAAAACCGCTCCTTGTTCACAGCTTTGAATCGGCTCAATTGTGGACATTGCATCCATTTGGGAAGTAAAGCAGCAGATGGAAGAACTCTCTCTTTCTGCCTCTCTATAAGTCTTTCAAGTTACAGATTTGTATTAAAATATTTTTATTAAAAAGGCATATTTACAGAGAGAAGGAGAGACACAGAAAGATCTTCCATCTGCTGGTTTATTCCCCAAACAGTCACAATGGTCAGAACTGAGCCAATCTGAGGCGAAGAGATTCTTCCCAGT